TTTATGAGAAGTGTACAGACGACCAAAATTGAAATTTTAATATAGTTGTAGTAACGAGCCACGAGTCCTTTGTGAAGCGTAAAACGGTCATTAAGTCGACGCGGGATCTATCAAAAGTTTCATGCATAGATTACACGTTTCTTTTATCACACGTTCAAGCTTCTTTTGGAAAAATAACGGAGAAAGGTTTTTTGGTTCGCGAATTTTCAGATTCATAAACTTTCAAATTTGGTTATTTGGATCTGTAGATATGTAGATTTGAGAACTTGCAAATTTGGATATTTAGATGTTAAGAAATTTAGGATTTAAGTATTGGGAAACTTAGAGATTTAGATCACTTGGGGTTTGGAAACTTGAGGATGAATATTTCAAAATTTAAAGATTTAGAAACTGAAGATTTGCTCATTTAGAAATTTAGGGATTTGGAACCTTGTGTTAGGGATTCATCTTGAGTATTAAAATCTATAGAAATACATGATCTTCAGAGTACAAAATTTTGAGAAAATAGGTGTTGAAACTAAGAGGAAAATAGGCAAAACTGAAACAATAATTGCAGAATCGTAAAACATAAAAATTGAGAAACATGCAAATAGCAAACGTATCGTCTACATCTGCATCTAAAATCGATTGCAAATGATGGGGTGTTCCACCCCCAGTTTCTTATCCAAAGGAAGGTTACATATACACGAACCGTTTCGGTGTAACGATCAACGACACGTTCGTCAATTTGCAAGATTTTCGGTTGGCCGAAATTGTCCGTGCATTCGTGCGCCGGAAAGGTCGGTCCCGTCGAAAAAATAACAGTGATCGCTCGGATAAATGACGAGGCGAGCCGTGAACCGGTCGAAACATATTAAATCGGGGCCAACCCACGCGAGACGGAAGGCCTCTGAATCATCGTGAAATCGATGATTAAAGCACCGCCAGACGACGGACGGGCGGGTTAACGGGTTCGCGGTACGTGGAACGCGCAAACGCGAGCATCGGATGGAAAAGGAACGGGCGACTAACGGAGGAGGGCAAGGGCGAACGAAAAGGAAACCGAAAGCCTTAATAACGAGCGGCGCAACATCCGCGAAATGGCGATTTTTCGTGTTCACTCGTAGTTTATCCGTCTGAAATTACGTTTACCCCAGGTTCTATTCGCTTGGCGAGCGTGCAAAGAGGACGATCCCGAAGGGTGGCGACGTCATCGCGACACGGAACCCTGCTCGAAATTTAAATTTTAGTTTAGATTATGAGAGAATGTGTCCTTTTTCCTGGGTTGATGAAGTCATGCAAGGGACTCAAGAGAACTCTTTTTAAACGATCTTGTATTTGTTCTTCATTTTATATCTGTTGTAATAAATCTATTCAAGAAAAGATCGGGTTTTAATAGAAACGATTTAATCTTATGTATTTATATTTTCTTTCGGTGGTCTGTTCAAAAGAACTCTTGTTAAGAAGAATATTAAACATACACATATAGTGTATAATATCGATAGGTATTCCTGAAAAATTTGATATCAAAGATGTTCACGATTCTTTTCTAACTTACGTAGCTTCTTATAAGCAGGTATTCACCATTTTGTTTATTGTGGTAACGTAAACGTACACACTTCTAAATAACGAATTCTGGAATTTCGTATCTGCGAATTAAAAAATTCGAAACTTGTACACGAACATTCATAAATTAAAAATATGAAAATTGGAATTAGAGAGCTTTTGTGTGGTAATCGAAGGGAAGCATACGTTGATGAACGTTAACGTAGAGGATCGTCGCCCGAGGCAAAGGGGTGGTTCAGGGCGTAGAATAGAGAATCGGGGTCGGATTGTCGATAACAGGTACGGTCCGATGCCGCTTTCTTCCCCTGTAACATAGTAATCTAGGGAGCAGGGCCAATTACGCGTAGTAACCAGAAGTTGCCGGTGGCCTGTCGATACACGCCACTCGAATCAGGACAAATTGACGCGGCGGCCCTTGCAAAGTCAACGGGAATTCCGCCCTTTTGCTTCGCCGATCGATTGTCCTGCCGTCCCGGCGCGAATTAATCCTTCCCGCTCGAAGGAACGTTTCTATTTTTCGCTTTTGTTCTTCCCGTTGTTCCGTGCGGCTCGATTGGTTGTTCGTGCCGTGTCCGGACACGTTCACGCGCCCGGAAAAATCGTGTATCGTGTGCGCACGATGGTTGGGGCCGAGGTAAAAAATGATTCGAACGCAGAACGCGGAACTAGACACGGGTTCGAAACATTTTCACGGGCAAAATCAGCGAGCTACGAGACCGCTTAATCCTCCGAAATAGTGGCTACCAGCCAGAGGACCGATAACGGGTCGTGTGTGGGCTTTACACCTGCAACTCGCTTCGCCGTCTGACCAACAATGGGCCCTGCACTCGTTTTAATGGCTCGCCCCTGATCGAGATTAAACCGTGCACACCTTACCGATCCGGCCTTCACCTGCGTTTATATTATTCAGAGCGGAAACGAAGCGCCAGCCTCCGAGCGACGGCTTTCAGAAACCGATGCAGGAATACCACGATTGCGATATTTTACCGACTAAATGCCCCGTTATTTTTAGATCTTTATTATCCTTTTACTAAATTTATGTTTTTCAATAATAGTGAAACAGATTCTAAATCGTAGCTGTAGTTGACATTGTAAGTTTCATTGTTCAGTATAATTATTTTAATAACTTTCTTCTGTCTTTGTAGTCTTTGATTCAATTGCTCTTAACGAATTATATTTACTAGTGTTGATAAAGTTTTCTTAAAAAATATTAAACCCTCCATTTAAAAATTATGCATAGACAATAGCTAGCGGAGAAAGTAAAATATAATATTCATTAGAAAACAGATATACAAACGTGAAAAATGAAGAGTAATAACGTTCAACAACATACAACCTCCTCAAAAAAATTCAGAAATGAAAACATAACAGCACATTATTTAACAAATTTTATTCTCCCAAATTATTACGTTTTGACGAAAAAAAGTGAAGTCAGAACAGGTGTTCTAATCGTGTCCGACTACAAACGTCTGTTTTCACTACGACGATCAATCGAGCCACAATTTTCGCGTCAACGGTATTTTTATAATAGCATTAAAAAGAAATGGGTCGCTGTTTTAGCTCGTCAGAGAGGGTCGTATTTAATTCATTTGATTTATCTTTAATAGAACGATTTTGTGTTGAAGAGAAAAGCTCCTTTCGCCGATAAGGCGATTATAGTTCGCTTTAAATCAAACGACTGACGATCCGCGCGAACAACGACGCAACGTCTTCGGATTAGAAACGAGCGAAAACATCTTTTGAAGTGATTGGAGCTTCGAGAATGAGTAGAAAACTCTGAGCTGCGAGAAGCTGAGAGTCTCACGCATCCCCGATCGAATACGAACACGCTTTCCCGTTCCATTGTACTTTGTGAGAGGCGAAAGCTTTAAGAGTTCTCTTCCGTGAATCTAGCAGTAGGGTACTCTTTAACGAAGAAGGGTGTTCTGAAGCACTGTTCGGCAAAAGGGCTGTAACGTAGAATTTCGCTTGAAAATTGACTATATCCTTACGATGCCTCTCGCGTTTCATCCAGTAATGAATTACTACGCTTACAAAAATACCTCCTTGGTGTTCCAAAGTACGCTTGTTATACAATGCATAATGCAGAATTGGTAGTAACTCTTCATAAGTATTTATGTCTTTATGAGTATTTGAAGAAGGTTCTCAGGAAGAAAAGGTAGTCGTTTCTGATAATTAATTGCGTAGTATAATACATTTGATGTCAATGTTATTTCAAAGTTCAACTGCTTACTATACTATATTAAATTACTGTAATAAATTCTGTACTTGATAAATTTGGTTTAAACATGAAACTGTCTAAATAGCAACTTCAATGACTTGTCTAGCTGCTAGAGTCTTATACTACTGACTCTTTTCTGTGATAGGAGCATTAGAGTCGTCATATGTAAAGTCCTAATGTTACAAGTTTTCAAAGCCTCAAAATCTTAAAGTCTTAAGATGCTAATGTTAAAACAATTTTAAAGTTTCAAAGATCAAAAGTTTCATAATTCTAAAATTGAAGAATACAAAAATTATTCTGAAATATAAGCTTAATCTTCGTGAGCTATCCGCATCTTGCGTACTTTGTAACACCAGTGCATATTAACTACGGTAAAAAATTGAGAGAAACGCGTAAAACGTGTGATGCGGACCCAGTTAGAAGAATGTCGTTCGGGGACCGCTAACGTGCTTGAACCGAGGGTACAAAGTTTTCTGCATGATACTCGTTCCTGTACATACACACCGCGGTACCATTAACACGAAATAATGGACGTCGCGCGAGTACCAGTTTATCCGTCCTACCTCGAACGTATACTGTGCTTCTGGAACTGTTGCAAAACCCTGTTTCTACTAACGCATTGTCCTGTTGTCGCCTGCTAACACTCGTATCTCGCGAACATTCAGCGTGTACCCTGTTACTAACACTCCTCCTCGTTCGCGAACTGATCAGTTCGAAAATGACGAAGTCTACGTCGACGATGCATCGTCTTTTTGACTCTCATTCATCGTTGATTCTCGGTTCATCATATGAGTCTTCACGAATCATCTACTTGTCCCACGAGGTGACACACTGTTGCTCAAGTGACGATTGCAGGTGCAATTATCGTAATTCCTGTTCGGTGGACGTGCGCAGCGAGATTTTCGAGAAGGACCCGTGTCCCGGAACCGGAAAATACATCGAGGCGCAGTACTATTGCCTAGGTTGGTGCACACTTTTCTTTCCGATCGATCGACTCGATCTTCCGTCGGGTATCCACTCGCCATCCACGATTTTTCCAAGACTCGTGCAAAGTTGCTTGGAAAAAGCGTGGATTTTTGCGAGCAACGAAAGGTACGAATTTTCAACGAAAAAGTCTCTCGAATTATACCCCTCCCCTGATACACGGTAAGAGAAAAGGGACAGGATCCATGGTTCAGTACACTTTGGTAAGGGTGTACGCGTATATCATTTTAACTGTCCACTCGGAACCCAGGTGCAACGACCAGCAGAACTGCAGCATCGTTGCGTCCACGTTACAATTCGGCGATCCCTGTCCCAACACGCACAAATACCTCGAGGCGCACTATCGTTGCGTGTCCGGTAAGTAAAACTCCTCCATTTTTGTACGCGATATTCCCTTTGTAATATCTCTGCACCCTGTATCGTTTATTCTACCGGCGATCGCCGTAGATACCGAACGATCGCATAGGCGTCGACTTCCTTTACAGTGATCCTTAGCTAAAATCTGAACTAATTGCTACTTTAATATATTTGCTATCTATAACTATATTACAACATCTCATATAACATTTTAGAATATATTTAAGAATTATATCATCGTTAAACTTAAGTTTAACCTTAAACGTACGATGGATTACATAATTATCAGTGTACATGATTGTATAACGTACTGAAGTATAATAGGTTGCTGCTGGATCTCTTCAATTTAATAAAACTATACATAGATTCGCAATGGAGTTAAGATAATTAGCTAAGGACAGAACACAAAAAATAATCAGTTGTATCACTTATTAAACTATCGAGTATATGACTTCCTTTCAAACTTTATTATGAATCCCCACTTTTTGAAAGTTTTAAAATATGTAAATTTACGCTTCAATAAAACTGTGATTACAAGCATGATCATCATAAAAATACTTCCTCTTTCAATACACTATAACAGTACCATAGAATGATCGAAAGAAATCTATCATAAAAGTATAAAGAAATAATTGAATACATCAATTTGAAAGAAAGTAATAAAAGTCTACCAGCGTTTCTTTCGCCTCTTACATTTTTACACTCACAATCAGTAATGATTTTTGCTACAAAACATCAGTAAGTTGCCAGTAAATTGTAGAAGGATCCATTGCTCGATAGTTTTATTGCATCATTTAAATCATCCCTTTTTTCCAAAATTGATGTTCGTTTTTACCCTCTGCTCGATTCGAGTATTCGGTTTTTATCGACACATTCCAGGCGAAGATTCTGCTTTTCCCACCACGAAATCATTCGAGATCCGCTTTTTCATCGCGGTAGCAGCGGGTAAAAAGCTCATCAATCGATCGCGGGTATTGATTAGAATTTTCCGAAGTCGGCGCTTATGATTCGTGTTGGCTACGTAACTGCGAGCCTCTGTCCCGATAAAGATCTTCAGCGGCTTGCATCGGCTATGCAACTCTCCGGGCAGACGGTGCAGAGAGGAGAGAGTCGAGTTCGCGAAGACATGATCTTTGCAATCGCGAAATCGATCGCTGGGATCGGTAACGCGATGAACTAACGTCGAACTTTTCTGACGTGTTTCGTATAGTAATGAAACTCTGATCCAATGGGGGCAGAGAGACTGTGGGATTGCTGGAAACGCGATTCAGCCACTGAATACCGATTTATTTCATAATTGTTATATTACACTTATATTGTTATATTTCACAATTGTTATATTACACTTATATTTATTTTCATATCACGTTCATAAATCACGAGACACAGAAAATTTGAATTACACTTTCATTACGATAATATTTTAATCACGTTTACTCAATTCATGGACGCGTGTGTATAATTTTCCAATGTAACATATTTAATTAGTATAAATTAATAATTCATTAAAGTTCATTCCACTTTGTACATTCTAAATTATTTCAATTACTTCTATTCCATTACTTTTACAATGATGTATTTTGCTGTTGGTAATCATCATTAGTAATGATTTTATGTCTAATAATGACACCAGAAAGATTCTACAAATTATACAGATTTCTGTTACGATCCGTTCATTAAAGAAGCAAAACACTTTTCATGGTCTAGTAGGAGCTTTCATTATCTTGCAAGGATCACCGTCAATTAAGTATCCAAGATGATTGTGAAGCCTGAGTACGTGTTTGGTTTAACTCCCGTCTTGAAAGCATGCCTCTGAAGATAATGATATTAGCTGAAAGGAAAATAGCAATTTCAAGTATTTCATCGCGTCCGTCTAAGCACTTAACCCGTTCCAGGATACTTAGCCAACACTTAATGATTAAAGGTAGCAAGGCAGCTTCAGCTACCCGACGTTAACGCTTACCTTTACGACCAACCGAAACCGGCAGGCGACACAATCACTTATTGGACCATAAACCGTCAACTCCTTGGTCTCTCTGTTTGCCTTTTACGGCTTCCAACGCTCAGCCTCGTCGTGATCGATATCTAGGGGGCTCGATAGATCGGTCTCAGGGCACCGACGTATATTCAAGGGGAGTCGGATCTGTTGGTAGCCCCGATACCGATGCTCGCTCTCTCTCTCTCTCACGCGCTGCCTACGGTGCAGACAACCGTCTTTCTCCTGCATAGCCGACTATCGTAACGGACATCGGCGACGTCCGGTATTTTACCTTATCGCCAACCCCTTCGGCCAATAAAGATGACCCCTATAGAGATAGTACCGCGAAATACGCGAACCATCTCGCTCAGGGATTAACTGCCGTCGCCATCTTGGGTTAAAGATCGTTTTCTCCTCTCTTAGGCCAGATATAGTCGCGATATCGTCCGCGATGGTAGGCTAATCTCGTTGGCCAGCGTTCGTTTTTGGAAGTATGTATTTCCGTAGCAACTGATGCCAACGTCACGATTCCTCTCGCATTGAAACATCGAGACCAACAGACTTCTGTCCGCCGATACGCGTGTTCATCGAGACTGTCGGAAAGGAACTGGACAATTTCAAGGAAGACATTTGTCGAGTCGATCGTTCCTTAATGTTTGCGAACGCTGGATATCGATGGCTCAATTTATGAACGAGAGCGGGATAATAGAACGAATTATTCTTTGTCCGAAATCAATTGGCTGCTTGAGAATATACTGTGATTGTGGATGACGTCAGGAGTGACCCGTTTTCGGATACATCTGGGACAAAGAGCATGCGTGGACATGCACATGCGCGGACAAGTTGCAAGAAAACGGTGGGATGATTAAACGATTGCTACGGTGTGGTAAGATTTCAGGTAGACCGGAAATAACGACGAATCAAGGCTCTGAAAAAGCAATGGGCTGTCGAAATCAGGGTACGAAACGGTACACTGTCAATAAGTGGAGATTAACCCTTTGCATTCGTAATGCCAATTATCTATTTCCAGATACTTTACTAGCCCATTTTCGGAGCAAAAGCAGGATGCTAGAAAACCTTAATTTGTCCAGTAATGGTAACTGTAATGCGAGTAGCTATAAATACTGATTTCGATCAAGTTAAAAGTAGAAGTTGCAACCAGAAACTGAATCTGGAAATTTCATACGAATAATTGTTTCAAATCATGTCACATCTTAATTAACAATTAATGAACATTTCTATTTACATGAAATGTAACGAAGTCTTCGTAAATTCTGATTTTAATGAGCAAGTTGATAAAAGCAAATGATCAGACATTTCCAGAGTGCAAACGGTTAAATGTCTTCCACAGAAAAACAAAGGTTATCTGGCCATAAAAAAGAGAGAGAAAACGTTTCGATGAAAATTGAGAGATTGATCCTGCCTCCTCCTTAAGGAGATTTAAAATATCTTCGTCGCCGTAGTCGGCTGAGGAGCTCGGCTGGGGTAGACGAGCTCCTCAAATCACTTTCCTTCTTAATTATACTCGGCGTTCGAATCCGATAAGCTCGTAGACGAGCTCTTAGGATCCTCGAGCAACCCTCCGAAAGCTGGCGTCTCTCCTTTTTGCGCGTTCGCATTCGCCACCTCTGTTTCAACCGGCGCGTCTAGAGCGTTCTCGACGAGTTAAAACGAGCTCGACGATACACTTGCAGCGGCAACAACCACGACAACATCCCGTCCGAGTCCGCCGTGGTTCATGACTTCTCAGCCCAGCGTTTGGAGTACGGCTAAGCCGACTGTCAGGCCTCCCTCTAGGATTACTACACCCCCGGCTCAACAGCCACCCCAGCCGCCGGCACCGTCCACCCCGGCGCTTCCAATAACCACCACGCCAAGGTCAGTATATCTTTACTTTCCATTTCGACCGATTTCCATTGGATTTGCATTAATCCATTCAGAGGTCTCTTGATATATTCCGACATAACGAGTGAACAACTGAAAGTTTCAAATGATATTAAACGGTATTAAGGAACCATGCGAAATAATTATATGTTCCATCTATCGATTTAGTGATCAATTTAATTGTTTAAAGCACATCGTCGAAGAACATCAAGGTGGATGTGCACCGTAGATAACTTCTATTGACATTCTCCAATAGTGGTCACGTGCAATTTTCACGTGCAGAAGGATATTCTCTGGCGCTAGCTAGAAAAACAAAGTTATCGAAACATTCCATTAAAGGAAATTGTATTACGCTTCACGGAGGAGAAATATTTTCGTTACGCCGTTACTCCGCGGATCCATCGTGAAGTTCGACGTCGGGGTCGTCATTGAAAGTGACAAGCCTCTCTTCCATTTTGCAGCTCCACATCGACGAGGTCCCCGGTCGATATGGAGGTCCTCGAAGTGGACCAAGACTTAATACTTCCTGCGAATGTTCCGTCTGCGAACGGACCTGCGGTACCTCCGGTCGTTCCTGAGACCACTCAGCCGACGACCACCTCGACCTTTGCTCCTTGGAGAACAAGTCGAAGGACCACTGGTAAGTTACTCGAGAGAATACTCTTTTCAACTTACGATACTGATGAAGAGGGTGATGGCGTTTACTTCATTATCGAACTTAGGTGAATTTTACATAAATTTCTTGTCTATAAACATTTATTTAGGTATGTGGTTGTTACGAGTTCGTACTCAAACGTTTTAGTATACATATATTACCAGCATTAGAGCTTAAGAAGAAAATTTCATCGAGCAATTTAGTTAGTAATGATTCTCGTTGAAGGTAGATTTATCCAATAGATGCGCACGATCGATTTGAACTATCGCCCGTCGATTATAGCCGACGCGTTGGTCCGGGCGAGGGCTTGTCGCCTGTCAGTTACACTCGACGATCATGCCGAAAGGGTTAATGTTTAAAGGGCAGCTGTCAGAACTTCCAAACTCCAACAGACCGATAGTCAAAGGAGTTTCGGAGAGATATCGAATTCGATCGATTCAATTCTCAATTATTGATGTCAATTCTTTCACGTTGTTTTTCTTCTTGTTTAACACTTTTGCTACGTATGACGTATCGCTTAAATTTGAGACGCCCTGTATATGTAACATATGTTCACCAATTTGCCTAAATTGCTTAAACATGGCAGATTACAGCGGATTTAGCAATGTGATCAATTGTGATTTACGGTTGGTAGTTGTTTAGGCTAAATCCAAATTTACCAACTCTTTCACTATTTTTGCTTATTACTCTCTCAGCAAATATCCACAACAAAAGTGTTAAAATGAAGTTATTTGATCGTGCCGGTAAACCATGGGCATATAGCAGCTGGTTGCATATAAATCGTGTCAGAGAGCAGGTGTTCAGGTTACGGTGTGTCTCGCGAACTCGTAACAATCACCGCAAAAGATTAAGACACCCCTGGGTATCCAAAATTCCATTTCGCAGACCCGATACGATGTTGCGTGTTAAGCCTGTAGCCCCACCGGGGACTGAACACTAGAATCACATTAAAGCCCGCGCCATTAACCAAAGCCAACTAGCGGGCCAACTAACGTTCGTAACTAACTCAAATATTCCAGTGCCGAGCACGCTGTACCCGGAGTCCAGCTCGAACGGCCAATGGTACGACTACGGCAGACAAGTGTGTCCCCCGGTGATAGCCAGGAACCTGTCGTGGAACACGACCAGGGCCGGCGACGTGGCAGTGCAGAGTTGTCCGGGTGGTGCGAACGGTTTGGCACGCTGGAGATGCCTGGCTAGAGGGGATTCCGCTTTCTGGCACCGGGACAGTCCAGATTTAAGCGAGTGTCGCTCGGTCTGGCTGACCACGCTCGAGAACCGCGTGACGGAGGGCGACGTCATCCTTGGTATCAGCCGAGAACTGTCGCAGGTGACGAACAATAGCAGAGGATTGTACGGAGGAGACATGATGATCACCACCAAGATTATCAAGAACATGGCAGAGAAGATGGCACAAGACATACGGACGTATCAGGACGCCAACCAGAGGGAGGTCAGTGTGACGGAGTTGCTCCAAGGTGTTGTCAGGACTGGCAGCAACCTGCTGGACAAGGCGCAAATGGCGTCTTGGAAAGATCTCAGCCATCAGGAGCAGATGAGAGTCGCGACCTCTTTATTGATCGGACTCGAGGAGAACGCGTTTTTGCTGGCCGACACGCTGATGCACGAGAAAACGATCACTCACGAGGGACGGAATATATGTGAGTATTGCCGTTTGTATTTGTTGGACAATGTAGGTCTTGTTGGTCGTCAAAGAAAATTTTTTCATCGAACGTTTAGGATGAGTGCGAGTTTACAGTATGTTAGTTTTAGTTCATGGGACTTTGGTATCTGATAGGAACTTAGGAATTTAATTATCAAATTAACTACTATTACAAAATAATAACTTGACGTTGTAGAACTTTCATTAAAATATGTTTCTAAATATAAATATTTCAGTTGTTCAGTAGTTTCAGTAGTAGTTCAGAAGTTTTCAGATATTTGTTAAAACTTTATTGTTTGGACAGTAATTTTCTGTAAGATCAAGTTCCACGAACTTGGACATCCTGTAATTGAAAACGTTTAACATTCGATTAGGCGTCCTTTAAACAGTGATGTGGAGTGTGCAATCGAAGGACGCGATACTGTTGGAAGTAAAAAATTAGTTTCCAAGCAATTTAGATGACCCGATAGACGTGAGAAGCTATGTACACGGAACCGTGATGAGTAGAAAGGAGTGGCAGGGTAACAAATTAACGACCCGAGCGTCTAGCACAATGGACATGCGAATATCGCAGGGCCGACTTTAAGCATCGGGTCGCATAAATCTAGATCCCTTATCTGGAGAATGCGACGCTAGTAATATCCGGCGTAGATAAAACAAAGATCCAAACCCATCGTAATTCTCTGGTGCCGTCGCTGGATAATGTTGTAACCCGAGCTTCACCTATCCCTTCACAGCATTATCACAACAAAACCCCGGGAAAATTACGAGCAATTTGATTTACTTCCTGGAAGTAGCGTTGCGCGCCATGATTGAGCCTGGAAGCGAGTTATGCCGCCGCGGTCGAATGAAGTAGCAGCAACATTAGATCCGCGCGTGATAAATAGCATAACAGTAAAAGGCAAAAAGAAGATGGGTTTGATGAGCGACAGCCGGCCGGATGCCTTGTAACGTAATATTCCCCGGCTGCTTCTTCCGCGCCAACAGAAAACTCCGCTTCTATCCTTGGCATGCGTCGAATTTTTCTTCCCGACCTCGTCACGTTTACGATTGATCGAATGTAATATATGATGAAAGGAACGACAGGAAAAAACCATACGATACACGTGTGCGCGCGTTTAACTTTATTGTCCGTGCCATAAGATGAATCGACGATCACAAAACTTTACGATCGTTGAATTGTCTAACATTAACGTTAAGGGAAGTCATCCTGTTTTTTGTCCGAGTGAATTTCCTATTGGCACGCTGAGAATATTTATATTCCGGTTAAGCACGGTAATAACCTTCTTGTAATGTCTAGACATTGGCATAATTAAGTAGGCGTAGATGCATCTAATGAAACGATAAACATGATACTTGTATGCAAGCCTATTTGCTATTTTATTTCTTTTCTTCAACAGTGATGGAGGTCCGCGTGCTGGACGCCAGGAACATCGGCGACGATCTCGAAGTATTCCCAACCGAAGCGGATCAGAAGAAATGGACACCGTCAAACGATCGCGTCGAGCTGACCAGAGGTGCCCTCCTCGAGAACAGCGAGGGTGGTATTGTCCGTTTGGTCTTCATGGCCTTTGACAGACTCGAGGAGATCTTACAGCCACAAGCCGAAGTATCGTCGTTGGTCATGAACGACGAGCCACAACCACTGCCGAAAAGGAATACGACCAGGCTTCTAAACAGCAAAGTGATCTCCGCGTCTTTGGGCAAAGGAAGGCACATTCAGCTCAGCGAACCTGTCAGAGTCTACTTCAAGCATTTATCCATTGAGAACGTCACCAATCCCACTTGCGTCTTTTGGGACTACATTCTGAGGTAACTTTGATGAGTTATACCGATGTTTGTAATCCTATATCCTTTTAGTATATTGCAGTTAATCGACACAAGTTACAAATCTTTATTGTCTGAGGTTAAGTTAGGTTTTTGAGGTACTTGGAGGACTAGGTCGACGGTTAGCTCTTCTATAAATTAAAATTGTAAATGCACTTTTCCTCAAATCGCCGTATCCACATTTTTATATTGAATTAACTCTTGATTTCAGAAGCTATAGATCTCTTATACCCTGTGCATCTTTATACTGCTAAATTCTTATACTAGATCCATGTATTCCTAGATCTTACATTCATCATACATTCTTCCTTTGAAATTTTGTTGGTGTTTCAACAGTGGACTAATTTGTACGATTTTTCAGCGCGTGGTCGGAAGAGGGATGCGAAATACGCAAAACCAACGAGACCCACACGGTGTGCGAGTGCAACCACCTCACGAATTTCGCCGTTCTAATGGACGTACACGCTGTCAGACTGGACATCGCTCATCAGGTCGCGTTGCAAATCATCACCTACATCGGTTGCATCATTTCCGTGGTCTGCCTCGTTTTAGCGATTCTGACGTTTCAATTATTTCGCGGACTAAAGGTAATCCCTCGATTTCCGCGTGGATCGCAACACGACGGAGATGAAATCGATCGAAATACACGCTGATGAATGGTTCATCGTTTCAGTCGGACCGTACAACCATCCACAAGAACCTGTGCGTGTGCCTGCTGATCGCGGAGATTTTATTCGTTTGCGGGATCGGGCAAACGAACCAGAGAATTGTCTGCGGTATCGTCGCTGGATTGCTGCACTTCTTTTTCCTGTGCGCGTTCGCCTGGATGTTCCTCGAAGGTATTTCATGAATTAAATCGTTTAAAATACATTTGATGTATGGAGAGGTGAAACAGGTGTAATTTGTTTTGTAATTTTCTCAATACAGGATTTCAATTATACGTGATGCTAATCGAGGTGTTCGAAGCGGAGAAATCAAGACTACGATGGTATTATTTAGTTGCTTACGGTGCACCGTTACTGGTCGTAGCTATCTCCTGCATAATCGATCCACTTAGCTACGGTACCGATCGATATTGTTGGCTACGAGCGGACAACTACTTCATCTTCAGCTTCGTTGGACCTGTGATACTCGTTATATTGGTAAGCTGATCTTCATTGATCGTCGATAACTCAAACTATCTTAGATTGAAATAATCATTGGCGTAATCAGCGAGAACTCAGGGTGTACCTTCATACTCCATCTACAGTTCGAAAATTTAAAAATATGGAAGTTGAGAAATTTCAATATTCTAAAGTTCCAAAGATAAATTGCAAAGTTCCAATGTGGCAAAGTTGTAAAAATTACCAATCTCCCAAAATCTGAAAATTCCAAGGTCCCAAAACGAAAGACCCAAAACCTCGATGAAGATACTTGGACCACCCTAGAGATAAATCCTAATTGCGTCAATGATATAAGAAAATATAATATACTAAATGTTTCTTTTTTTGGTTAGGCAAATTTGGTATTCTTGTCGATGGCGATTTACATGATGTGCCGACACGCGAACGCCACCATAGCGATGAAGAGTAAGGAGCACTCGCGATTGGCCAGCGCAAGGTAAGCCTAGAAAATCCGCGTCTCTCGTAAAACATCCAATATGTATATGGAGCGTAACGATGAATTTTGTATATACATGATCGTGTATTTCTGTATTGAAGTAATTGATCGGGTCCATTCGATAAAGAACCACAGTTCGAGATACGATCCTGTCGTCGAGTAGAATCGAAGTGTTTGTTTGGTGCTTTCGATTCACGTTCGCAAGCTTATTACTTGCTTAAAGAGATCTCCCGAAAGAGAGTCTTTTATTGTCACGCATCTTTTTGGCGGCCATGCTGAGTTCCTTTCGTTTCATTTATTCGTTTTATTCAGTTATTGTGTTATGGAATGATCGCAGATTTCCGTTTGTTCGACACACCACTTGTACCGCTAATATACATATATATATATCTATATATATTATATATTTATATACATGTATTTATAATTTGACAACGGCTCGTTACCGCGTACACGCGATTATGAACACCGTCACAGTCCAGTTATACTTGAGCGATGAAATTTCGTATCAATAATCGAACGAGCACAATGACAATTATCGCGGGCTCTGTGCTTTCTATCGTTTCAACGAAACGGTCGAAAATATGTCGAACGGAGAGAATAACGACGCGGTATTAACTTGATAAATCTCTGTGCGGAAATATTGGTGATGGTAGTTAAATTCTTTTGCAAACTCGACTCGAATTATTATCGGCACTGCTTTATCGTGATGACCGTTCTGTCTCTCTGTTTTTTACTTTACCTTTTTTTTCAGTTGGTATTGCATTTTTTGTGAATTTTTTTTCTGGTCGTTGTTGAATAGTATCGAAAGTAATTAAATGTTGAACGTTATTGTGTACTAATGCAATGATACGATCGGATAGTAATACGAATCGAGTGTTGCAACAGCGAAACTCTTTTTTTTTATAATCAATTAATTTTTAAATGGTGCCGGAACAATCACCTAACTTTGCTGTCTTGTTTCATTTTTTGTATTAAATCTTCTACCCACTTCTGTCTACACTGTTCTACATTCTTCTGCATGGCGTGGTTGGTTGGTAGTGGAAAGGAAGAGAATGCTCTTCCCAACAAATTGCAAGCGCACTTGTAAGATATTTACCAATTTTTATTATTATTATTATCATCATTCATCTATCATCAGTCATTACTAACGTACTCGCGTATTTTTTCTCACATTTTTGTTTTCTTATGTTTCCATTCAATGCTATCGATCATTTATATCTGTTCGTTTATGCGAATGTAGAACGTAGAATGTAGTGGTAATTCTGTTTCGCGAAATGAAACACGCTAATCGTTAATAGTACGGTATCGGGTATATGAATTTGGGATTTTATATTTCTAAATTTTCTACACATCCCCATGTGTACACAGTAATTAATAAAATTGAACGAAAGCTTATTTGTCCGAATACACATGCCCGATACTGTACCGCCATTGATCGTGCGACTCATTGGAATCGCAATCATCATTATTATTTTTCGTTGTGATTGACAAAGAACGAAAAATCGGAGGCTGAATTTGCTGGCAAAATGGCCAAGCTGCTTACGTAGCGTGGTATCTTTCGTGGTGGAACGCTTGACAAGAAAGCACACGTGGCGAGGATCGATATTCTCCGAACTCCTTTAGTTACGTACGTCACGCTGTTTGCCTTTCCTCTGAGTACACACGACGATTCGAAACCGCATGCCGTATTTATCCTTTAGTTTCGGGTGTAACGCCTGATTTGAGAGTAGCTTAGACAGTACGCGAGATGGTAATAAACACCTGCTTCCTTGGGTAATTCGTGTCCCCTATCCTCGAACATCCCGTAGTTCCGATACACTCGAGTAGAATCGAAAAAAGAAAGTAAAGAACCATAGAAAAGAGAGGAGAAGAATCACGAAACGAGAAACGTACGGTGTGTGTGCGATGCTTATAGGAGCTCTGTAACCGCTTTCGAGTCCCGCGAGGACATTAACGCTGCTAATGCTTTGTTCGAGCGTGTTCGTGTCACGTGCACACATTCAGAAACAAGTAGCATTAGTAGACGTTAGTGTCGCGTAGCTCGAAATGTTGCGTGCACTTCGGTGCATAACACCGTCCCCTTGATAATCTTACGTGTTCTCGCCGCTCCATTTCGATAAGAACGTGACAAATGTAGCATTGGAATTATTAGAATTAAAGTCACACCATCATCGATCATTTAGCACGTTACCCTTAGCTCTCTCGATGGCACGAGACTAAGAGATCGTTTCCTTTTTGACTTGTCTCTTTTTTCCTTTGGTACGATTTTTCTTTGTCTAAGACCGTCACTCATCTATCAACGCAACGAACAGCAGGAAATCAGCATCGATACATTTTCATATTTTACAAATAACGATATAACGTATTGATATTAATAATATTAATGTATCGATGTCGAGGCGCTGTTCAGGTGCGACAAGTAGGCAACGGCCTTTATCAACCCTCACGTAACATCACTCGTTCACGTTCCTTTAAGCATCGCCACGATCTCGTTGAACATTTGAATTTTAGCATAACTAATATTTGTATTTTTATTTTGAAACAGGGCATGGCTGAGAGGAGCGATCGTCCTGGTATTCTTATTGGGCCTCACATGGACATTCGGGCTCCTCTATTTGAACCAAGAATCCGTCGTGATGGCGTACATCTTCACCATATTGAATAGTCTGCAGGGGCTGTTTATCTTTGTGTTCCATTGCGTTCAGAACGAGAAGGTAAGGGAATACGTCGGGGTCCAAACGTCTACCTTACTTTAGATTCTCTGCGACCTGTTGTTACTCGCATTCTTGATATCGCCGACAAAATCGTAGCCATCCCTCATTCTGTCATCCTTCTCGTTACATTTTCATCGAAAGTCGAGTTCAATGAGATATTAAACGATACAAGGAACTTGAGACAATGGCGGTGAACGATGTTAAGTTCTTCGATCGATTGTATGTAAATTATTTTGATTTTGTAGCCAAGCGGTATAAAAGAAAGTAAAGCGAGGGTAAAACGATCGATTATCGACGGAAGAGTATATCGGAAAATGCAATTTTATATACCTATATATAGAAAAAATTGTAAAACTGTTTCTATCGAGTAAGTTTATAGTAGCATTATTAATCACGAGTCAAGGATCTTGTAACATAAGAATTCGATGCACTGTGTACGGAAAGCGGATTCTTCGTATTTATAATAAGTAGCTAATAACTACATACCTAGGCAAGATGATCATTTGAGAGTAATCATTGTTATATAACGCGACAAACTCGTACGCAAACGTACACGTTGACAAATGATGTCTCAAATAAAGTGCTGTGGCAATCGAAATCACCCACGTTTATTCGCCGTATCACCGTGGATCCTGTAATTTCATTTGCAGCTCGTTATATTTTGTTCGTCCCTCTTCTTTTTTTATCATAATTTACACTTTCGTTGCCACTGCAGGACGCACCGCTGTTTTCCTGATTTCTCCGTAAATTCAGCACCAGCTTCGTAAAATCGCATACTTGTTCACCATTGGCGTAATTAGATCAAATCTACACATCCGTAAATCTTTTTTAATTTTCATCTCCTTTTAAATACGAGAGTAGTAAGGGCTCAATAATTTCCATTGAGTGCGATGTCAACACAAGGCAATTTAAATTCGATCTATTTAGTTAAAAGATTCTATTTACGCCAATGTTCAGCCAGTTTCTCGACGTGCATACCAATTCGAAAGTTCATTCATCGGTGTGCATCGTGTAAAATTTTTCAGTTCCATCTTTTTTTTATCATTTTAAGGCGCGTCGATGACGAAAAAACGAACGCGCGCTCGCACTTGCCTTGGTTCTTTGTGCACCGTTAAAAACGTTTCGTTCGGGGGGTGGGTTTGCTTCGCCATTGCAGGTGAGGAAGGAATACAGGAAGTTCGTGCGCCGTCATTCGTGGCTACCGAAGTGCCTGAGGTGCTCGAAGACGATGACCGGAAGCTCCGGCGGTTCTTCCGGCACCAGCGGCGGCGCTGGTGGCGCAAATGGCGGCAAGGACTTTGCGTCCCACAACACCTCGTCGAATCCTTCGGCGCCAACCACCGACAGCTCCGGATTGTCGCCGCATGCCGCCTCCAATGTGGGTACAACACCGACCACGTCACCGCCGAACAATCACAACAACCTGACAGCCGCCTGTAACAATACGAATCTTTCGATAAACGTGAACCTGAACAATTTGTCGCTGAGGTCGCCGGTCGGGGCACACCAGATGCACATGATGGCACCTAGCAACCACAATAGGCATCCTGCCCAGCAAGGTATCCGATAGCCGCTTCTACACCAAACCGAGAAACGAATTTGTTTTGACAGTTCTCAACGACGAGTCTGACAGCTGTGTCTGTCGCGAGCGATATAAAATATACGTACGATTGAAAGAGGGAATATAATTCTTTTTTTTTTGTGGGAGAAGGAAGAAGAATATAGGTCTCTCTCTCTCTCTCTTATTCTCACACACTCTGTTATTTCGCCTCTGTTTGGCTCGCTACCTCTAGTTCTGTATTGTTCTCTGCTCGCTCTCTATTACTCCACTATTTTTTTTTCCACCCCCTCTACCGACTATCGCTTGTTTCTGCCAGTAACGCAAGTATGATTAATGGTACTGGAATTAATAACGCACACTCCCTTCACGTTGCTCGTTCCACGAACGCTAGCCTGCCTTTCGAGTTGATAACTGCGCGAAGGTACTTGCACCTTTATCGTCGACGAATTCCTTCGCAGATCGACTGCGATTCCAACGGGAACTCGCGTTTCCTTGTTCGCTGCACGATCATCCGGTCGATTAAGAGCAGTGGTTTCGTTGCGGTCGAAACGGGCGTCGCCGCGTATATTCTCGATTTAACTCCACTCTTGTTGTGAAGAATTTCTTGAAATATTTCTTTAAACTCGCCTCTCGAAATGGTTTCTTCCGAAATCTTGTCGTAAACATTTCATAGGATTCGCAATTGCACGCTTCGCACAGGCAACAGATTTTCTCCGGTTCACAGGCAATATCAGAGAAAATCGAGGGATTCTGTGATACCCCATCCACCTAGTTAAGCGTTTTAACCACTGTCACCGCCACCCTCGGCTCTCTGTTCGCTCGTGTATGCTAATTCAACCGAGTCGCCCTGTCATCTTCGAAACTACGCCCTCCGTTCCTTCCTCCCGCCTCCAATGTGGGTACAACACCGACCACGTCACCGCCGAACAATCACAACAACCTGACAGCCGCCTGTAACAATACGAATCTTTCGATAAACGTGAACCTGAACAATTTGTCGCTGAGGTCGCCGGTCGGGGCACACCAGATGCACATGATGGCACCTAGCAACCACAATAGGCATCCTGCCCAGCAAGGTATCCGATAGCCGCTTCTACACCAAACCGAGAAACGAATTTGTTTTGACAGTTCTCAACGACGAGTCTGACAGCTGTGTCTGTCGCGAGCGATATAAAATATACGTACGATTGAAAGAGGGAATATAATTCTTTTTTTTTTGTGGGAGAAGGAAGAAGAATATAGGTCTCTCTCTCTCTCTCTTATTCTCACACACTCTGTTATTTCGCCTCTGTTTGGCTCGCTACCTCTAGTTCTGTATTGTTCTCTGCTCGCTCTCTATTACTCCACTATTTTTTTTTCCACCCCCTCTACCGACTATCGCTTGTTTCTGCCAGTAACGCAAGTATGATTAATGGTACTGGAATTAATAACGCACACTCCCTTCACGTTGCTCGTTCCACGAACGCTAGCCTGCCTTTCGAGTTGATAACTGCGCGAAGGTACTTGCACCTTTATCGTCGACGAATTCCTTCGCAGATCGACTGCGATTCCAACGGGAACTCGCGTTTCCTTGTTCGCTGCACGATCATCCGGTCGATTAAGAGCAGTGGTTTCGTTGCGGTCGAAACGGGCGTCGCCGCGTATATTCTCGATTTAACTCCACTCTTGTTGTGAAGAATTTCTTGAAATATTTCTTTAAACTCGCCTCTCGAAATGGTTTCTTCCGAAATCTTGTCGTAAACATTTCATAGGATTCGCAATTGCACGCTTCGCACAGGCAACAGATTTTCTCCGGTTCACAGGCAATATCAGAGAAAATCGAGGGATTCTGTGATACCCCATCCACCTAGTTAAGCGTTTTAACCACTGTCACCGCCACCCTCGGCTCTCTGTTCGCTCGTGTATGCTAATTCAACCGAGTCGCCCTGTCATCTTCGAAACTACGCCCTCCGTTCCTTCCTCCTTTCTTCTCTCTTACTTCCCTTTTTTTCTTCTTCTTTTTTTTAATGTGTTACCCCAAGTCTGTTGCAGGATAAATTGCGAAGTGGGTGTCCTCGACCCTCCTAGTCGCGCGTTCCGCTCGAAAGCGACGCGTGCCAGAAACACTTTTTTTAACATCGCCGAGAATCGCTTCGCCGCCTCGAAAAGCTGGCTCTGGAGCGAGACGAGATAAAAAAGGCATTTAACGAACCGTTCGACTCTTTCGACCCTATCGCGTTCGTTGTGAAGAGAATTTAGAGAGAAAAGAGAGAGAGAGAGAAAATTAGGGGTTGAGGTTAGGGGAAGAGTGAGGGAATACGATGTATCCAAGGGTGGTTCGTATGAAATGAAAAAATGTAGAAAGAGAGAGGGGGAAAGAGAGAGATTATCGAACGCGGTCATGCCGCGAATTCGTATGATAAAACAACGATACTAGCTGGTAGATAAAACGATAACTACGCCCGCTAGCTAATCGCGTGCCATTGTGATTTCTGCAAAAAATTTATTGCCAATTGTTCGCCGAATATAGCGGATTTAGTAGAGATTACTAGTTCAGTCTTGTTCATCGGCTGGAAATGACGAATGATTTCACTTTCTTTTTGTTCCTGTATTTGACAAAATTCCAAGTAACTGTTTGTTAAGATAACATTTACTATTCATAATTCACTTGTTATTGACTGTTGTTCACAATAACGAATCACTCATTCATCTTTAACAATATTTTTATGTAAAAAATGTATAAGATCTTATTACCCGATAAGTTTTTGTTCCTCTCTCTTTCGAATTTGGGGAAATTTTCAAAGGGCAATTTAAAAAGAAAGAAAAAGTGTCACAGCGAAAGCACGAGGAAAAATACAAGCACGCTCTCTCGCTCGATTTTGCACACCTGTAAACACGCGAAAGTACTATTTGCAAGACCTCCTACTAACAATGGTGATTTTCGTGCTTCTTATCTGGCTCTGGGTTTGGTGTAACGCGGTTGCTGGCTACTTTGTACCCTATTCCTTTCCCAGGTTCCCGTTCTCGACGAATTAACCGCGATGTTCCTTGCGGCGAGCTTGTGCTCGTGCATCGTTGCGCTGCCTCCATTTATTTCAGATGTTCCGGATCGTTAATGAAACGCTAATAGCACGTGCACGAGACACGGTAACGAATCTGTAACATAAATGATCTACGATCGGCTTCGCAGCTACGAATCTCTGCTCGAAAACACTTTTCAACCTGCAACCTCGATTTCTTCCCGCTAGCTGGTTCTGTCAATTAACGCGATTCGATTTAGTAATATCAGTTTTATTTAATCGTTTAGCACGTTGCTACTAACGCTCATGAGAAAACTATTTGCTGCAAAATGCAAATTTCGCAAGTTATTCGTGCAATAAACAATTGACGAGCAATCATTTATTATGTAGTAAATGGTACGTCTCTACGCGCATAAAATATTAGTAAAATGTCAATAATTTCCATTGCGAAGCTTCGAAATGCCAGCTCCTACATTCCAACCGGTAGCATCTGTTCTAGCAAGTTATCTGTGTCTTATTCGCAAACCTGTTTGTCGCTTATCGACTCGGTTCTACTCTCGCACTGATGCGCGAGCCGACCGGTAACTCGCAATCACTCGTTGAAGAAGTTGCAGAAAAATTTCCGTGGACCATCAAGAAAATACCTCTATCTACGTTCCGAAAGATTCGTAATGTACGAGCGAATGTTGAACACGTGGGCAGAATACGTGCACAGAAACGAACGGAAAAATCCTTCGCAAATCATTAAATCTCGAATTCTGCCCACGTTACTTTAAAATACCTTTAAGCTGCTTACCGTTGAGCAATCGATCGATTGGAGACCGTACGAATCTATTTACCTACGGATAGTTTTATTGGTTTTGAATTTTCGCGCGCTCTCCGATCGATTCACTCGGTTCGGTTCAGGGCTGGATTAAATATTAAGCTAAATAAACACGTGTTTAGGGGGTTTTACATTGTCAAATTTATCACGGGAAATTTTTTTAGAGTATTACTTGAAAAATTCTGAAGTCTTAAGAATTTTTAAAGGAAATTATTTTACAGAAAAATTCTGATTACTTAAATTAGTATCGAAGTGTAAATGTCCAAAGTTTAAGTGTTTCGATATTCCAAATTCCTCAAACCTCTAAATTCTAAAGTTTAACATTTTTAAACTCCCAACATGAACAGTTTAAAAAACCCATAGTTCCGAAATTTTTAAATTTCAAGTTCTGAAATGTTCAAAGTCCCAAAGGTCTAAATCCTCGAATCTCCAAAACTGCAATGTTACAAGACTTTGCGAAGTTCAAAAATTCCAAAATTCCAAGATCCTAAAATCCCAAAACTGAAAAGTCCTAAAATCTCAAAATCTAAATTCCAAAACTAAAATTTTACTTTACGATTTACGTTCGTATACCGAAATCTTGTAAGTGGGTTTCTGAAGATCTTAATCCGGCCCTGGTTCACAGCCTGACAAACGCACGTCTTCAACACGCGTTCTAGGCATTTTGTTAAAACTCGCCGATGACACGACGACAGGTCACTTGACCGCGAAGACAGGGGAAAATCGCAGAGACGAGAAAGATCCACGATGAAGCGATCCCTCTTGTCTCTCTCACACCTCCTTCGCAGCATACACACGCTCGTTCACCACCTTCGTTTTCCACACACACGTACACTTTCACACGAACGTCTTTTTTTTCCTATTTTTTTCTCCTTCATTCCGTACGTCTCGCTAATTAACATCGGGTGCACACTCGACAAGAGGTGAGATAGGGTAATACGGATCATCGGAGCTTTTGACGAATCCAGCTCGTGTTTGAACAACCGACTTCTCGTTTTTTGATCACGAACGTGGAAATTATAATTAACTGGTTAACGAAGAATTGTGCGATTCCACGATAATATAGAATGATTTTATGTGGAATGGTAGGTCGATGATCGGTATTACGCTGTTTCTTCTGAAACAGACCCAGTCTCGGCACGGTTGCGTGTCGGCAACACAGAACCTTACTGAAAACAGTACGAAAACGAGGAATCGTCCCTCTCGTGTCTGTGATCTCTGACACATCTCACCTTGCTCCACCACGTAGTCTCATTCTGTTAAATAAATCATGAAATGACAGGTAATAATATTTGAGAGCTCCCATCAAATATACGCGGTTAGTACACATAACCTAACATAAAACATGGATACATTTTAAAACCCTTCCAAAGAAAAAGTTTTCAATATTTCTTGTTGTAACGAGGTCTTCTATAAACTGTACATTGATAAATAGAGTCACGGATGCATACGACAATTGAAAATGCAAATAATAATTACAATAATTGTACCCCATAAATATTCATACGTTCTAGACGATTATTTTACACGATTAGTATAATGTAAAAAGTTTCATTATCATAAAATTCATTTTCATAAATCTGATCATGAATTATCGCAAACTGCATCATGATCGTCGAACAGTATGCATATTTTGAAAAAGTTTGAAAAAAAAAATGTAACGAAATATCCGTCGGACCGATCATAAAGCCGTCAAAAAGATTCTTCCGCCAGAAAATTTGCCGCGGAAGTACGTAATTTAACTCGATGTTCCAGCCACAGGAAAAAGGGTTGGAAAAATCTTGGCCCCGTATCGACCGGAAGCGTGGTTCGCGTGACTCGTCCACGTACGCCCGGAAAACTGGTGCAATCGCGTATCGTCCAGGACAAACACACATGGCGATGAACGCGATGGTGGCCGAGGTGTGCGTGCTGACATCGCGTATCTCAGCCCGTTACATCGTAGATTCGCTCGTGTACGAGTTAAATCCGCCACGCTTCCGGCGAGCATCACGGCTCCGCGCGATATCATCGGATTTGCCCGCCTCCCTATCTTTCGTGTTCGTGTCATTTCCCAAAGGTCACGAGGGCAGAGCTCCTCTTTTCAACCGTGTAACACCACATCAAAATGATCTTCCATTCGCGACAAGAACCGGGGACTCTTTGTATCCGTGGAAGACGACCACGTAAAAAGAACAGGGTTTAGCGATGAGATAACCGAGAAGTGTTTGATAATGTACACCGTTGAATGAGATCGAGTAGACTCGGAGATGTGGAGCAAGGTGATTTGTCCAGGATTTCGTGAGATTCGGCTAACCCTTTGTTTACTGGTAACACGATAAGTCCACCAGCTTGGTATTGTAATAGAATTCGCCCCTGGGTAACGATAGATAATGGTAATGGGCTATACGGATGTCAAGATACTCGGTAATTTTAGTAATTTCAAGGTGTTCGGAATCATTCATTCCCAAGGGTTATTTCGAGTTTACACGTGTACTGTGCGGAGATAAGATGGCTGGCGAGCGACATAGAGGCAAGAAACTCTCCAACTGATTTTACCTTTGATGTTTCTAAAACGGTACACTATGATATAGTACTAGTGTCCACGTTTTCGTGGATGATGTTTTAAATATCAATTCTCGAGTATATGCAACTAGGTTGGGCTTTTAGGCTTCTCCCAAACCCCCTTTGATCCTAGACTCCTCTAGGTTCTCTCTAGATTCTCCCAACATCTGGGCGTTTTTCAGGTTCTTAATAGACCTTAAACTCTTCTTAGTCCTTAGGTACCATCTAAGTATTGAGTTCTCCACAGTCGTCAGGTTCTTTCTAGTTCTGAAGTTTTATCTAGACCTTAAGTTCTTCTTAGGCTCTCCGAATATGTGACCTGTCCCTACCATTAACCCTCACTCTAAATCCTAAACTCTTCGTACTTTCCAAGTTCCTCCTACTTATTAGATTTCACCCACCATCCTTTGATTTTTCCAAGCTCACCAACAAATAACCAGATACTTTTCTACTTACCTTTTCATTTTACTAAAGGAAAGGCAAAGTCCATTGCGTCAAAATCATGGCATTATCAATGAGATCCATGTATCTCCCGCTAGCCAACTTCTCATCTCTGCAAAGTACAGCTACAAGAACACAACATTCCATCATTATACTCTGTTACGAGATCAGTAAACGAAGGGTTGAGAGGAAACGACGAATGGTTCGATTTTTACAGTACTTGGCGTCCGGTCGAAGCTGGGCGATAGTCGACAGGCAGCCGGCAGTAACAGTGCCAAGTGAATCCTCTCCAACAGAGGCTCACATCGTGGCCACGCTGCCGTACGCCCGTCACGCCTTCTTACCCTCAGCCTCAGCTCCTAATTTCCCCAAATCTGCCACCGCCACTTGGGGCCACCTTAACAAAAACCTCATGTGGAAGGTAACTAACTCACCTGCAGCTAAGACTCACGCTAGCTCGCTCGTGTCGTGTCGTGTATTGTTTCCAACGGACTGTCTTTTCTCTTTACTGCGATTGACTGCATGGTGTGCCATGATTATTATTATTTCTTCTTCTTTTTTCGTTTATTTGTTTTTTACTTTTCGTTGATTCTTACCGAACAAGCACCTAGAGACACATTTTGCACACTTAGAGGACACCTCGTGATTTTTGACAGGAGACCAATTCGGTTCAAGCATGGAGGTGTGGGGAAAATGTTCCCGGTGACTAATGTTCGTCCGATCGAGAGCTTGGATCTTCCCTTGTTCCCTGTTTTCATTTCCTGCGCGTTTTTATTTCAGAGACACGATTTGTTTTTTGAAGTCCTTTTATAGAAAAGTACACCGACGACCGTAGAGTATGTACACTGAGAAACACAAGACCGAGTTCGGTTCGTTAACGGTAGACGTCTTTCGTTTCGTATGAAACGCGTAGCTCGCTCTGTGTGTTTTACGTTTTCGATCAGTAGTGAAAGAATGAAACCATGAATGTGTCGATGATCATAGTCCTTGTACATACCATACACAGCACGTACGGAATCTTCTCGCTCGTTTCATCGACCATGCATGCGAGCTCGTGGATTTTGTGAATCAATTTCGAGCTCACCCATAACAATCCTCGTTGAGACTCGCATCCCATCTTTTAATTCGTAGGAGTCGCGCGAACGAAGAGCTTGCGTTCATCGGACTATATCGGTACTTATTAATGAACGTCAACAAAATCGTCCAACAAAATATATCGTAAGAATCTTCGTTCGTGCAATCGCAGATCATCCATGCCCCATGTGTCAGACCACACACGTCACTTTATGTTCCACCCAAAAACACGTATCCATCGAAACCCTGCTGAACGTATCTGTCTTTCCCGCAGAACATTTCTTTTAAATCGTACTCCCGCGACTCTGGACACGGCGGCTCCGAGCAGGAGGAGTCGCCCAGGACGCACAACACCCTGACCCTGGGCCATTCTGGGCGAAACCGCGGTGCAAGGGTGATGAACGAGAGCAACGAGATCAGCGGTACCAGGACCATCGGCGTAGGAAGCGGTCGGAGGATTGCGATGCCATACAAACACAAGTACACCGAGATCCTGGACGGCCGAGCGAACGGACCCGGACATTATCAGCTGCACGGACACCACGGTCAGCACGTGCACATCCCGCGTGAGCTGACGAACGAGGACGAGCCGGTCTACGAGGAGATAGAACGAGGCGGCGGCGGAGGCGGCGGCGAGATCCAGGTGTCGGACATGTCCGACGAAGACGGCAGAAGGCAAAGCGACATGAGCAGACAGTCGTCGAGGAGTTACGGCGATCACAGACCGCTGATACCGTATTCACCAGCCACCGATAGGAATTTGGTGCATTACGGGCAATCGCTGACGGAGCGTGGCGGTGGCGGTAACATCCACTGCGATGCGAACGAGTACAGTCCCGCGGTGGAGAGGACCCTGAACACTTGCTGGGAGAAGCTACGGAAGCAGCAGCCAGCCTGGTACGAGCGCGGAGAACTGCCCCGTCTGCCCGCGACCTACGGGATTCCGCCTCAACAGGATCACACGAGGACGGTCGCGGTTCTGGACGGGCACACGGTCGTCTGTCACCTGCAGCCACAGACAGACATGTACACCGGTCGCGGGATGCCGCCGCCTTCCTACAGCGAGTGTTAGGACACCTCGTTTGACAAATCCGATCTTGTCGTTCTCTTCGTCTTCCTGCACGAGGACGATGGATGCGCCCCTCCTCGCGTTGTGCCGATCAAGGAGTCGCGTCCTCGCCATGGATCAAGAGAATCGATCGTGGTCCCTTATATCGACGACGGTGGTTCATTCCTGAAGAGAGCTACGATTCCGGAGCACCGATGCGTCTCAGACTCGCTCTGTTCATCCGAATGGTCCGGGTGAACGGGACCGACGCGTTCTTAGCTCAAACGAAACAGCGGCGATCGAGGACGCCCTGTTTCCTCTTAGCCATAACGATATACCGGGCCCGGCCAAGGGAGGCCCCTCTTCTTTCTTTGTTTCCGTTTCTTCGGGAATCGCGTGCACGAGGCTGCGAGCGCGGCGGATGTCCACCGCCGACGGACGTGTCTGTCGTCTCGAGTTGGATTCGTGCGACTGTGTGCGTGCGTGAGTGCGTGAATGAGTGCGGCGAAGCGTCGAGAATCGAGTTCTGTACGATATAGAATCAATTAAGCGGACCTCTTGTTAAAAGTAATCAGTCGTCGTTGTACCGTCGAAGCCATGCGCGCGCCTCTGGGATTGGCTCATCGAATGGCGGATATGATGTCGTGCGGAGAACGATAAAACGTGACGAGTCCTCTTAGGTTACTAAGATCTGCTAGGAGAACACCGGAAGAGATAGGTTTCAAGGAATATCGCGTGCACGCAGTTAACGAAGATCGTAACTTTCGGCCAAACTATTTCCTCGCTCGAAGACGGTCTTCGCGTTTCTCGTCGAATTTCCTCGAAACTTGTCCTCGCGAGCGTCGAAGTCGAGGGGGAAACTTGCTCGACGATCTCGCCGGTGCAGTCTTTTTGTTAACGAGCGCGATCCCGATCGTTGGTCGAAGCGAAATTAGAAGACATATCGAGATCGGCGTTAAGGATTTTGTTGCGAGCGCGTGGAAATCGTTAGCTCGTTAACGAGCCATGGATCGGCGAGAATTCGATTTGGGTTTCCAAAGGGAATCAAAAGGGTGACGACTCGATAAAGGAATCTGAAGCTAGTGTTCCCTGTCAAAGGTCTCGAATTTCATCGAACGGTGGACAGCGTTCAGTGACATATCGCGGATCGCTGATCGATAATTGAAACTCGCTGCAGAGCGTAGAGAAGAAAGTAAAGCTACTTAATCGCTTATTTCGATTAACGAGTACCGTCTCTGTATTAGCGATCGCATCATAGAAATAACTGCTTCTAAAGTCTACGTTCTTTCGAAAAGCAACCGTTTCGTGAAATAAATTTCGAAGTTCCAATAAAAAAAAGATAGAGGAACGTGTGTCCATTTTGTGTATCTTCGATGATTAAAGAATTCCTTCCAAAGGAAGGCAAATGTCACGGCTAAAAGTATCTTTATCGGTCGTCCTAGCCAGCTCCTCACTGTACATTGCTTTGGAACGTTACGTTTTAGTCCCAGAATGTTATTTTTATAAATAAAAAAATTATATATATAAATGTATATGTATGTATACAGTAACGATATTATATATATATATATACATAAAACCCGAGAAGAACGAATGGGCGAAAGAGATGTACGATGAAAAACAAGTACATATATATATATAAATATATAGTGATACAAAGCGATTTTCCGAGCGACGTGGAAAAAGCAAAAAAAACTTAGTCACTGTTTTTTACTATTTTTTAAAGAACAAAAAAGGTATATGTCGTAACCGCGTAATCTAATGTGTAACTAAGGAAACCCGCGCGCTATTTATTTTTTATCATCCGTGAGTGTTATCTAATGTGTAATTAGCGGACGTGTCGAGGTCGACGATCGATGACGCGCGATCGTTCGAACGACAGGTCTCGATCAAAACGGATCCATCGGATCGCCGCCATCGGATCGTCGCGAGTCTGGTGACGAAATTTTATGCTTGCAAGAAGATCCTTGGCAGACGAATATCGAGTACTCGAGACGTCATTGTAGCTCGATATTCTTCTCGAACCGATGTAAGTGGAGAAAGTCACGTTGAGTCAACTCGCTGCAATTTTTTTCTTCTTCATCCTCTCATTAAAACCGTGGTTCCCACAAGATAAAAGCCTGCCAAATTTTCCTATTAACCATCTTGTTTTCGACGAAATTTCTCTCAGTGAGTTCACTCAACGCAACCTTCTGCATGGTTCAACAACTTTTTACATCGTTTCATCGTTTAATTTATTTCTCTGCTCAGCCGGGCCGGCCGTGATCCTTCTCTCCGGCAAACCGTTGTACGTTAAGACGACTAAATCTATAGGCGAATTATAAATAGCGATAATCAGCGTTAAGGGTACCAGCTACTAATAAGCGTGCGAACGTTTCCTCCGACTTGTAAAAGAAACGTAATTGCTCAGTCTGGCATCGCGCGAACCCATTCGCGGTTATCCTGGTTTCTTTAGACCAGTGCTGGGCAACTGTGTCCACGAGGTGCACGGATGTGCAAGTGGGCATTCGCGAGTTATCTGCAGGCGGTGTATTTGTCCGATTGTTAAAATGCCGATATTCTTCTCCTTAGACATCTTCTTTTAATTTTATTTTCCTACATATTCTCTACGAGGTTCTCTAAATTCATCTTAAGCTCTCAATCCGTGGATTTACGATACCATATGATTGCTCTTTTCCTACATTTTCTTAGGCTCTTCATAGAGTCTGAATTTTTCCTGAGATCTTTCTTTTTTTGATTCTACACCTTCAATAGATCTAGATTATTCTTCAATTCCTTTGTTGTCCCTAGGCTCCCTAAGCTTGCACACCAGTGTTCTAACCCTCTCAGTGGGCACTTGATCTGCCCATCGCTGCCTCAGACCCTTCGCACAAGCGAGATACGGAGAACGAGCATCTGGAAACCGTTTCTGTCCACGATGTTAAAGGTAGAACGAAAACGTGTACCGTATCAGGCGTGTATGAACATGTGATTTCTTTCAAGTCCACGAAATTCTGCCGTCTCGTTTTTTATCCGTAGATAACCGAGGACGATCGTCGCGTATCGTCACTGAAAATCACACTGTTGATTTCATACACTTTGTTGTTGCCATTTTCGTTCCACTTTTACATTCCTTCGTCGTCACGATAAGCGGTAGGCATCTCTCGGGTCAATTAGAGCAACGCAGTCGAACGGTATCGAGTCTACGAAGAGTATACATTGAATAGTCCTTAAGTAGTTCTCAAAAGTTTTCACACTTTTTCAAATTGCACTGCTCGATATCCACGACTCTCGCGCGGATCGCTCAATACCGTGTCGGAAACGATTCACAGACACGTTACGGTACGCGACGACGTTGTTTTAACTGGTTAGGATTTGTTCCACGCGTGTGTTCCGACGAATTTCAATTTTTGGAAGTTGTTTTTGTTAAATAGTGCGTGTCGTCGCGTCTCGAACGTCCACGACGATCTGTCCACGAGGCGACAGGGATTTATATCATTTTTGTAAGAGCGAAATGTCTTGCCCACCAAAATGATTAGGGAAGTTGGTACAAAATACCCTATGGGACACTACTAGTAACAAACTAAAATTATTGGAAGTTTTCTCTTTTGTTTCTTTGCAGTACATACAGTAACAAAATTAATAGCCACTAAAAATCTTTTGTTTTTAAAATGCTGCCTATAGCGTTGCTAAATATATAATTTGCAAATGCACTTCACTGAAAATTGTAAAATTCTGTAACTTTGATTTGAGATTTATTTCCAAAAATTGTTCGATGTAAATGTATATAATAATTCAAATGCCAGTGGTGCCATAGGTGTTGCATCTTCCTTATTGAACGTAAACGCAGCCACATTCCATCCCTTCGAGTAATCGTAATCGAATAAGGTGCACGAGCCACGTAGCGACAACTTCCTAGCACACATCGATGAACAGGCAATCGATTTACGATTTCGCGTATTATTTTCTTTTATCTGTCATCCCACTTGCTCCTTCAGTTTCGTTTCTTTGCATCGATAACGGCGTAACCGGCGGGCCATCGAAGATAAGAGGACACTGTCGTCATTGTCACGTCACTTTGAAAGGATTGTTGCGTGTGAAAGAGGAGGAGAGAACGTTATCGTCAGGAAACTCTCGAAGCGAGGTGTATATAATGTAAATAGGGCTTTGTACATGTTGAACACGTTGTAATGTAAATGGACAAAAAAAGACGTGCGAGAAGAGAGAAAGAGAGAGAGAGAGAGAGAGCGTCGTGTGTGCGTGAGAAAGAGAGAGAGGGAGGCGACCGAAAGGATCGATGTGAAAAAAAACAGAAAAGAATACACTAGATAAGACACAAGTTACTAGTAAGTAGTGGATATTACAGTGACTATTATCGTGATGGCGGATGCGTGAGGCGGTTTAACTTAAGTCCCAAGCGTAATTAGTTAATGTGTAAATAAATCTAAGCGAGGAAGTAAAAGAAAACGAACAAAAAAACTATTAAACGAGAGAGCCCAAGTAATCATTGGATATTTATAAACGAACTCCACTAAAGAGAAGTAACGACAGATGGAGATGAACGATGAGAAATAGATTCGGACGAAGGCGAGAGAGAATGTAAATATATGGAATGGAGTACTTGTTAGGCTATCAATGCGAGAGGAACGTGTCAGGAGAGAGGAGAGGAAAATCGTAAGCGAACGACCGAAAGGGAAGAAGCGTGAAGATGGAAATGTGCGACATTAATCGGACGAACAGATATACAGTGCATGTTTTATCCTTAGCCGTTTTATAAATATAAAATATCCTTCTTCCTCTCCTACCTCCTTGCACCCTCCCCTCTCCTCTTTCACGCGACGAAACCAGGCGCTAAAGTTGATCTTCTCTCTGATCGAGTACACCTGTCCAATCTCGAGATGTTCCTTTCGATCGTGCGTGCTGATCTATCTCCTTTACTTTTTCTCTGTTGCATGCAGCCGAAACGCGTTTCCAAACGAACCACCCTCGAGATATTTAGCCAACCCTTTCGTTTCGCTTGCAGAAGAAAAAAGATCGGTACAACGTAACTGGCCAGCAAAAAACCGATCGCAGAGAATCAATAATTCCGTGTGAGCATCGTAAATCACCGATCATCTCCTACCATCTCTCCCATCCATCCAATTCATCCGTTGAAAGTATCAGAATATTTTTCGAATCGGCGTTTTTTTCTAAACCGTTTTACCCAAAGACACGAAAGACGGCAGTTAGAGCTGCGAAATTTCGATACGAACCGTCGCGCGATTCACACAGATTAGAATTCGTGAAGATTTCTGTGATCTTACCATTTATGTTCTCTGTTTGTAAGTGATATTTAAAAGGTAATTACCGCGGACACGTTTTAGCACGTATCACGCGCATAAGTTCCCCGTGAATCATCGCCTGCCTGCCTGCCTGCCTTGCCTGCCTGCGCACGCTTAACAAGTGAAACAGAAATGGAAGACCGAAGAACGAACCAACATTGAACAGAAGACAACACGTGAAGATGAAGAAGGAAGAACACAAAACGAACAAGAAGAATTGTAATATCTAGGTATCTCCGATCTACTAAGAGCCTCCGTTTCTTCATTTTTGTATGCTTCTTTAAGACTGTCTGATACAGGAACAAAGGATAAATAAATGTGTACCAATCTCTGAATAAAAATATCCTGGCTCGTCTTTGCTTCTTTAACCGTATCCTCCGATGAAACTGATGCATTCAAATAATAAAATCTTTTTATTATACAAAAATCTATGACTTCATCGTAATGGATAAAGTACAAATTTTTAATCTTTCGAGATACTTTTAAAAATAATTTTTGGGACCCTCGTTTGTGATGCATCTTTGAAAGTTTCGAAATTCACAATTTTTAATGTCCGTAGTTATTTAAAATCATTTTATTTCACAGCTCCATATTGCATCAAACATTCAATCGTCTCTAACTGATTGCTTCTTCGAGCCGCGACTAAAGGCGTAACATTGAACAACGCCTCAGCATGTATATCGATGAAATTATTATCCAAAATGTATCGAACAATTTCCGTATTCCCAGTCAGAGCAGCCACGTGTAATATAGTTTGATCAACGTTATCCGTAGCTCGAACATCAGCTCCCAGCTGTATAATTTGTTTCACGACGTTTAAATAACCCGCCTTGGTCGCTTCGTGAAGAGGAGTAGACCCTGAAGAATCTCGCGAGTTCAGAAAATTTGAATTTAGCGCCGCTAGGCGATCGATTATACCCTCGTGACCGTGAAATGCTGAAATATAAGGAATTACAATTAAAAAAATTTATAATGCAGTATTAATAATCCACTGAGGCGTTTAATTAACAATTGAAATTACCAGCAATGTGCATCGAGCTACGTCCATTATTACTTCGATCATCAATGCATTTAATTGATTCGTTCACCAACAAATCAAACGCAACTTCATCTCCAGAACGACAAACCATATGCAGTGCCGTCCACCCGTCTTTATTTCGTAAAAATGGATTGGCTTTTGCATTCAAGAGTGTTGCAATACACTCGTGCGCATGACTTCCGGTTTTCGTGCAGGCCAACATCAGAGGAGTCCAATCGGCGCGCTTCAAGCAATCCACAGTCGCACCTTCGGAATAATCACAACGTTATACATCAATAATTGTAATAAATTCGCACAGAAATAAACACCTTTCTCGATTAAATATTTTAAAACATCGCTGCGCGCAAATTGTGCCGCCTCGTGAAGCGGCCTCTTCATATCTTTGTTCGCAACATCGATTCTGAAATTGGGTTTATCGAAAGCCTCGCACAAGTATCGAACGATATTCAAATGACCCTCGCGCGCGGCGACGTGTAACGCGGTGTCACCGGAAGTCGAGTGCCGGAAGAGGGTCCAGTCTTGCACCTGGTGTTTCGATACCAGTGCTTCTACTTTCGATAAGTCACCATTTTGACATGCGTTCAGGAAATCGCGAGATAGGTTAGGATCCGTCATATTTAGTTTTCATTAAAGGAACAGTTTAGTACGCGTTAAAATATGTACAATACAATGAATTATTTTATGAAGAGAATGCGGATTGATGGAAATTAATTTTAGAATTGGAGTTCGGCACGTTTTGCGAAAATATGTGAAGCGACTTATGCTGCCGTCTCACAGTGAATCGAGGAAACTGTTGACGGAGCAGCGCTATCTGTAATCGATAACGTCCCATGGCGCGAAAAAACAAAATCTTAATTTGTGAAAATTAAAATTCAAAATTTAGGACTTCGAATTCATGTATTCGGAGGTTTATAAATTTTCAAGTCTAGAAATTTGGAAAGGTACAAATTTAGAAATTGGAAATTCAGATGCTTTCAAATGATCAAACTTCCACACTTTCAGACTTTCAAATATTATAATTTTCAGCGATGAACAAGAAGTATAGAATGTTAACAATCAAAACTTGCTCGGAAAATATTTTATATAGAATTTTGCGCAGTCATGGCTATATAGCGAAATTACACGCCGAATATTACCGTCTAACAAATTTATCCCATGTTCATAATTAAAAATAAATACTTGACTAAACCAGCGGAGCATGGAACCATTTTGAAAGTAGACTTAATCGCACGAATTATCCTTACGGCTGACTCATAAGGATCTCGCAATTATAGCGTCATAATTAAATCGGTAATAGCGCCTACCTCCACGAACAATGAAACTCTACAACCTGTCAAAGCTCATAAATGTAAAAAATTGCACGAATGTTTTACGAGCAGCTTTCGTGTAATTTCACAAATGACCGCATAACAGGTGTGCGCGCAACGAATAAGTTATTATCGACAGCCATTGCGTACGCTGTTGAATTTAATTATTTTCATCGATTGCAATGATTTATAGCGGCAATCGTAATTGCGCGACAGCGTAGTTTCGGACAAATGTTTCTGCTTGGAAAAGTAATTTCATTTTTACCGTGAAATTTCCATAACCGTTATGTCGGCGCGAGATAACAATGCAAACAATTAAACACCAATAAAGCGTTTCCGGGCTGGTTGTGCAATCGCGAGTGTGTGTACGCGACTCGCGTCGAGAAAATCGCTTTGCGAGAACGTTCAAGGTTTGATTAAAAGCATCCACCTTTCGCTTCGATATAATTGCTGGACTGAAGACGCCATCGATGATTCTTCTTGTTTATCTTTCGCATCTATTTGCGTGACGCAAGTGTTTATGATATTACGAATTGTTTTATGGTCTCGGACAATTGTTACATGTTTATGATATAGTTGTCTTAAGGCTCTTGGTATTTAGGGATAATATTTGAGGTTTGAAGTATTGAGGGGTGAATTTGGGAATTTGGGGGATGGACATTTTGGGAGTTAGGAATTTGGGGATTTGCGAGTTTGGGACTTTGGGGATTTGGAAATTTGCAAGTTTGGGAATTTGCAAGCTTGGAAATTTGGGGACTTGGGAATTTGCAAGTTTAAAAATTTGGGGATTTGGGAATTTGCAAGCTTGGAAATTTGGGGATTTGGGAATTTGCAAGTTTGGAAATTTGGGGATTTGGGGATTTAGGAATTTGGGAATTTGGAGATATGGAGAGTTAAGGATTTGCGAATTTTGTGATATGGAGATTTGAGGATTTGGTAATTTGGTGATATGGAAATTCGGAGATTTGGATGTGGAAATTTGGGGATTTGGAAATTGGCAAGTCTGAAAATTAGAGAATTTGGGAATTTGCAAGTTTGTAAATATAGAGATTTAAGGCTTTAGGAATATACATGTTTGGAAATTTGTGGATTCAGAGATTTGAGAATTTGCAAGTTTGGGAATTTGGGGATTTGGGAATTTGCAAGCTTGGAAATTTGGGGATTTGGGAATTTGCAAGTTTGGAAATTTGGGGATTTGAGAATTTGCAAATGTGGAAATTTGGGGATTTGGAAATTTGCAAGTCTGGAAATTAGGGGATTTGGGAATTTGCAAGTTTGTAAATATAGAGATTTAAGGCTTTAGGAATATACATGTTTGGAAACTTGTGGATTTAGAGATTTGAGAATTTGTAAGTTTGTCTATTTAAAAATTTATGTATTTAAGATAATACAATTTTAAAAATTAGTATTTACAAGTTTGGAAAGGCAATCTGAATGTGCCTAGAAATTTAATATCTAATGTCCATTAACACAGTACATTAATCATCAGTTGTGTCCATCAATTTTTCATGTATCATAAAATATGAAACATTTGTCGGGAAACTTCATAGCGTGATCCGAAGATAAATGGAGTTCCGCAAGAATTTTTATTACACGAAAGATTGATAACAGTGTGACGTTATTATATTTGCGTGAAATGAATAGAACAATCAGTTCGATATTTTAAACATGTCTACCTGTACGTCAAGAGTAGTAGATACGACTTTCTGGATCGTTTCATTATTACATTGACTCGTAGAGAAGTTGTATACCGGCGATATCAAGCGTGCCTTTGTTAGCCATAACATCGACCAACATGAATATAATTCACCCCGCGGTCCCGACAATCGATCGTCAATTTGCATACGATGAATCTCCTTTCAACCTGCATCGCATTCGATCGCGATGCAAAGCTAATTTATGCGATACGCGAAGATCGATGTTCCATCGAAGCTTTTCCCTTTTAACAACTTATTTCAAGCCTGTTTGTTCATCTATTTCTACACCGTGCATGATGTCATTCCGAATAGAACTAACAGTGGATGTAATTTTTATTTTAAATCAAATCTTGATTTTCTACAAGATTAAAAATTGTAAACAATTTGTTTATGAATTGCACATTTACAAATAATATAATATAATATAATATACATGATGTATTATGAATAATTAAACGGAGGGAAGGAAATGAAGTCGTAAATATCAAAGAAACTTATTAAAATATATTAAACTGTATTATGAATAAACGATAATATTTCCGTCCATACTTATTAACATTTTACATACCCCTTTCATAAACACAGTCTCCAAAAAATGATATAATATTTTTTAATTTCACAGCAGTTATTTTGCAGCCATAAAAACAATCACAATTTTGATAACATTTTTCTTTCGATAATGTTCATTGAGGATCAACAATAAAGCTCCATTGGAAGAAGTTAACAGAGAATCGAATATTGGCAAACCTGTAATAACACGTAATTTTCCCCAGGCTCGATAACTATAATTTCAGGCGAAATTGAATCTTTAATTGTATAGATCCCATACGACGATGATCAGCTGGCGCCAGTCGGGAAACAGGAATAAAACAGGTATGCTTCTCTTCGTTCGTTTCCTGCGTTTTCCGTCGCACACGGAAACGCTCGCTTCCTATTCGACAACTAACACTTATGTCGAGGTTGATTATGTCGAGAAGAAATCTTGCTCAGAAATACGCATTAATGTGTAAAAATAAATCCTTGAATACCGGAGAATTTTTCTAAGAAATCCTTGCTTCTAAACTTGATTCCCCGCCTCTTTTCTCTTCGCCATTGCGTTTCAGCAGCTTTGATTAAAATTAGTACGTTCAATACAAGAATTAATCTTCAAAGGTGACACCTCTTTAATACAATTTAGAATAAGTATTTTTGAAACCGTAAATTTTAAACATAATGAAAGAATTAATATTATAAAATTAAAATTACTGGAAAGATAACCTCAAAATTTGAGGAACTTAAAAATTGCTGTCAACGACAGAAATGCCTCCAAGTGTAAAGTATTACTAGAATAATATTTAGTAAAGTAAATTATATTGGAATGTTTGAACGCGTGATTCATTAATTTTTTCCCGCATTTCATCGAAATTGTTCACGCAATAAAGGTACATGTTTTCGAACAGTAAATCAAGAAGCCTCGAATAATACTAACTACATATTTGTGTCGTTACATCATTGTTAATTTATTATCGAACATGTACGTTTGTTATCGGTGCACACGTGGGAACGACGATTCCGATCAGGATGTTACACGAAGTTTATAGCTGTAGTTGACTCGTTATAGAGTTTCCTGTTTCTCAGAAATTTCAGTTCACCAAGGGGCCGATCGATGCTTACTTGGCTGATTGTTTGATCGATTTGCGTCGACATTGACCTTAACGCACTGAATGCCTGGCGAATTTTATGCCTTATTCACTGCGAAGCGCACTTAGCAACATTCATTATGACTCATTGTACGAATCGGTGAACACGGTGAAAATTGCCACTCGAGCACGCGTTATTACGGAAATAATTAACACATTGATGTGAGGGCTTAATGCAGTCGATGCCGTTAAATTGGTGGAAACAATTTTGTGTTCGCAGAATTGGAAATTTGATGATTTATGGGTTTGGAAATTGTGGGATTTGCGAAGTGAGGGATTTGGTATTTTAGAAATTTGAGATTTTTGCTGTTGGGAGAATTAGGGATTCGAGAGTTTAGGGATCTGCAAATTTGGAGATTTGGGAATTTAAGAATTTGAGAATTTAGGGGTTTGAGAGTTTGAGGAATTCGGGAATTTAGAAATTTCAAAATTTAGGAATTTGGAAATTTAGAAATTCGAGATTTTTGGAATTGAGAAAATTAGGAATTCGAGAGTTTAGAGACCTGGACATTTGGGGGTTCGGGAACTTAGGAATATGAGAATTTAGGTATTTGAGAGTTTAAGGAATTAGACAATTTAGAGATTTAAAAATTTAGGAATTTGGGATTTTTGCAATTGAAAAAATTAGGGATTCGAGAGTTTGGGGATCTGAAAATTTAGGAATTTGAGAATTTATGGATTTGGGAAATTAGAGATTTGGGAACCTAGGTACTTATTTAGAAATATAAAAATTTGAGAATTTTAATAATTCAAAAAATTAGAGATTTGCCAATGCAGAAATTTCGGAACTCAGGTACCTGCAAACTATTTGATTTATAAATTCAGGTAACTTCGTTTTGAAATGTTCAGGAATTTAATAACTTGAAAACATGGAAGTTTAAGGATCTAAAAATTTAAGAATTTAATTTAAAAAAATTGAAAGGTGCAAGAATTAAATGATTTGTAAAAATTAATTATAACATTGGCAATGATCCTCATGGCTCGATAATATATTCACACAATGCCACTCGCAAGAATTTCAAGCCACAAGGAAAAGAATAAAGGGATCCGCTCGCTGCGCATCGTTTCGTGGCCGCCATTGCGTAACGTTCGACTCTATACGAATTAAGCAACGATAAGCTTGATCACTGTGTTCGTCTTGGCAATTGTTGTTTCGTAGAAACGCCATTACAGATAATCGTCTTCGAACTACCTAACGCCCGCGATTCAACCGCAACGAAGTAGAAGAATCCTAATGTTGTTTGACCACGGGAATCTTTTTGATCCCTGAAAATTAGGTATATGTACAATATTCTTTGAATTTTATTTAAAGGTAAGTTTAAGACAACGGGTAATAGTATGATGAATATATTGTAAAATGGTCGTTGATCAGGTAGAAAATATCATTTGATCCATGTATCACTCTATGTAGTAATTTTACTAATTTTACTAATCCCCAATCCCCAAATTCCCAAACTTGCAAATTCTCAAATCTCTGAATCCACAAATTTCCAAACATGTATATTCCTAAAGCCTTAAATATCTATATTTACAAACTTGCAAATTCCCAAATCCCCTAATTTCCAGACTTGCAAATTTCCAAATCCCCAAATTTCCATATTTGCAAATTCCCAAATCCCCAAATTTCCAAGCTTGCGAATTCCCAAATCCCTAAATTTTCAAACTTGCAAATTCCCAAATCCCCAAATTTCCAAGCTTGCAAATTCCCAAATCCCCAAATTTCCATATTTGCAAATTCCCAAATCCCCAAATTTCCAAGCTTGCAAATTCCCAAAGCCCCAAATTCCCAAACTCGCAAATCCCCAAATTCCTAACTCCCAAAATGTCCATCCCCCAAATTCCCAAATTCACCCCTCAATACTTCAAACCTCAAATATTATCCCTAAATACCAAGAGCCTTAAGACAACTATATCATAAACACTTGCGTCACGCAAATAGACTTCTAGTCCTGTAGGTACTCATATTGGTCTATGGACCTCTAGATACCTGGATCTTAAGATACCTTAAGATTCTTAAGATACTTCTTAAGATTTTTAGATACCAAAAATTTGAGATCCTCAAATAGGTTATTTAGGTCTTTATATTCTTAGATCTCTAGATGTTTAAATTTCTACATCATCAGATCGAGATAGGTTCATTTCGTTATACATGTATGTATTTCCAGATCCACATGTCTTCAAAGTATTGTATCCACATATTCCTAGTTCTTCAGATTCAGAAACGTTTAAAATCCTACGTTCTAATATGTACAAGTCCTCACATACTTTCATCTCTCGAGTCCTATATTCTCATTTTTCTTCCATTATCAGATCTCCAGATTTTTAGAACTATACCTTTTATATTCATCATCGAAACGAACGAAAAGAATTTGAACAAAATTATGCAATTCAGTCGACCAAAAATCGATTCGATTCTATAAGTTCATACAAGATCCTCCATGGTGCAAGTTCATACGAGATTCTTCGTGGTGCAAGTTCAAGGCTCTGTCGAGCGATACCCACAAGGTCACCGAGTGTGCAAATACCGAGTGATCATAGCCGCGTACAGGTGCAGTCGCTTTCTCATTGCGAAGATGAGACGGTCACTGACGTAAACGGCACGTATCAAAACTGTCGACTGCTTCAACAAGTTCCATACCCGTCTCGTGCAGTCGTTCGACCAACATCCATACGTCACGATAAGCGCCATCGTGTGTTTTCCTCGATTGTGTCTCTCAAGTGTCCCGGTACTTCCTTCACCGAGGTTGCTCAATGGGAATAACAGAATTAATCATCGATCGGGTATTACTCACTCTCGACCCCGAAATATCTCGCAACGGAGAGAGAGACAGAAGCTGACCGAGTCCTTTCATTCATAAGCCGTGAATCTAGCGAGCTAGATCGACGAACGCGTCGTACCGGTTTCCAGATCGACCACTTTCATGATTTCGCTTTTTTTACTCGCGATTTTTGCGCGAATTTATTGGCTGACGTGTCCCTGCCGGTTGCACGGAGCATTAATCTTCGTGCATTCAGGTGAAGTACTCGTTGCGTCATTTGTGGAGCAAAATCGATTCGACACTGATAAATCGTGTTGTAAATAATTGATGAATAGACACTCATTGTTGTAATTTGATCGCACTAAGCAGGGGTTACAAGTTTTAATTGCGATACGTCATTTTTTGTGCCATCAATCTTTACTGGGTATATAGTAGGTACATAATTACAGTTTGAAAAAATATAATTTATAGCGCTGATGTCAGATATGATAATAATTTTATGGTAGATACGGTGGGTTTCTCTGAGGAAACTGGCAATTTACAGGAAGAGGACTCTAATACTCGAAAGTTGTCATACTCATTATAGTTTGCGGTTGTGTTATCCCCTTTTCCTATATTAGCAATTTTTACTACGACAGGAATTATATATTTAGCTTGCATATAAATGAAACCTTCATCTCCGATATCGTCATATTTCCAAAGAAAAGATGTGATACAACATACCTTGCAGGTGTTAGTATCCTTCTACATCGCCATATCCTAGATCAACACTCACACATAAGTCTCCCTAAGGAAGCCCCTATACCCGATAAATAACTTAATCTACATAAAAATACCTAAACTTCGACGTGGTGTAATATCACCAAGTCTAAAATTACACGAACTTCAGATACGTGAAGTATCAGCAAACTAAATTTTGCAAGTGCCTATTTAATTTTCTATTTGCATTCCTAAGTCATCACTGCGGCACTGATTCAAAACAAGGTGAATCAGAAGTAAAAATACCACGGTGAAAGGTTAAATATAACAGATGTTACGTTAAAACAAGTGTCTTTAGCGGTTCATTTAGAGTCGAACAATACGGTAGAAAATGGCACGGGCAAATTGTTGCACGAACAACTGCAACGATCGATACCGGGTGACATTTTCTATCGTTCTGCCATTGTCGACGATTAGCTAGGCATTAGTTAGGCCTCGGTTAGTCACCTTCCTGGCGTTGTTTTGAAACGAACGGGCACGCGGCGACTAGATCGTATCGAAAGAATGGAACAATTGTTTCGAGGTCATGGTCGAATTGCACAGCGGGGAAAATGTATGCCGTATCGATTGTCTTCGACGCGTTGGTAATGTACACGCGTCCTGGGCGTCGACGATATAGCGTCGTCGTGTCCGATGACGCCGATAAGCTGGATAGAAATATCGATCAGAGGATAGGTAACCGTGTGTAATTATGCGGACTATTTCGTGGGTTCCGGTACCATCGCGTATCACTTGCCAAGTATTCGGCCGCGCTATTGTTTCGATCCGCTATCACACCCATTTATAAATGTCTCTGCTCGCTAAATGAATTTCATGCCGATTTGCCGGCTTAATTGGGTAGTTCTTGCAACTTGACTCGTTAACTTTAACTTTGGTATTCCGGGTTAAAATTTCGTAATCGGTTCGAAGATTAAAGAATTCCACTTGCAGTAATTATGGGTTTGTTTCGTTTTGTAATTAGTATTGATCAATTTAATAAGCGGGGGCATTTAGGATGTATAGATGATGATACATAATAGAAATAAGTAGAATAGATCAGGTAACGATAGGTTAAAATTAGGTTTACACTAGGTTATGTTAGCTTAAGAACGACTGAAGTAAATTAGGTGAGGTTTGCTTAAAATTAGGTTATGTTAGGTTAAGAACGATTGGTGTAAGTCAAGTGAGGTTAGGTTAAAATTAGGTTATGTTCATTTAAGAACAAATGGTGTAAATCAAGTAAAGCTAGGTTAACTTTGAATAGGTTATGTCAGATTATGTTAAAGTCATGTTAGACTAGGTTTAACAGTGCTGATATATTTTTATTTAAACTTCAAATATAATTCCTGTAATTTAAGACCAACAGAAAACTTCATGTAAGAATTATTATTCTGAGAGTTACAACATTTTTTAAATATAACTAAGCATGTAATCAAATAGCAGGAAGCGAATAAAGCAATGCTTGTTAGAGCAGGACAAATGAATTGTTTATTTTGTATTCTGTGTTATATATTACAGCTCGGTTGTATATTTATTACATAAATCAGAGAAAGTTACTTCCTTATTTTTTACACGCTATAAAGAAATTTTTTGAAATTAGATCCTCAGTCTGCTCTGTTTATTATATGAACCAGAGAAAGTTTTATACTTCATTTGTTGCAAGAAACTTCATTAGACTAACAGTTTAATGAATATGGAACAAATTTAATATTTCTTGTACATCTATTAGGATTTTTTTACCCATTTAAGGAAGAAACCTTTTTTGTTTAGAAAGTGAGACAAATTTCGAATATGGTGAGAACTGGAAATTTGGCCATTAGGGAATTCGAGGACATTGTAGAATTTGATAATGTTAAATCCAAGAATCTTAAAATCTATCCATCTGAAAGTTCGCAGATGTAAGTTAAAAAATTTGTTTCTCGCATCTTTTAGATCAAATATCCACCCACTCGGAATCCCGCGCAAGCAAGTTCCAGCTAAAAAATAAAATTGTTTCAATACACCATAAGCAAGTCCCAGTTCCCAATATCCTTCCTTATCCTACCACTTCTCCTATACAATCCCTTCACCGTGGCTCGGCGAGTAACCACGTACTCTCTCCTTCGGCATAGTACGTAGAACCACAAAACCCAGCTCGACGCCAGACGCTGCAACATTCCAGTCCGCGGCGAAGCAGCCTGGTCCCTTCCCGAGATGTTCGTCCAACATCGAAGGGTGCTTCGAAAACAATTCCCCGGATACACCTGATCGGTGCAGGGAGGCCAGAAAACGTTTCCCCGTGGAGCGTTCGTCGTCGAGCAGTCAGGTGGGAGGTGGAAGGTGGAGTTACCGGTGACGACGAGCCTCGGCTGTGGCCTCTGGGTAGGGGCCCCTGGCGTCGTTGCGTACCCTGGTAACATGGGACCCCCACTTGTGCCTTCCGAAGTCGGAGGCGCATACGACGGCTCGACACCGATATACCGACAACGACGACAACGACGCCGACCGGCGTTGCGATCATCATCCGTCCTACCGTCTGCAGTTGCAGTCGGCCACCGCGCTCACCATCGAGCACGCGACATTCAGCTCGCGGGGATTCCCGACGCGTTTCCCGTCGCTCGACGTGCCCGATCACCGAGCCCCGTTCGCTCCGCTCGAACCAGGATACGTGGATAGTGAGTCACAGGTGCTACGCAGCTATCTGGGATAGAAATCGTGCTTCTCCATTCTCTCGTTTCGGTGGATCGAATTGTGAACCGATCGATCGGCTGACACCGGTTTCTCGTCGGGCTCCTGAGCGTTCGCGCGCATGTCGATGATTCCTCGTCCAGTGATTCGGGGACAGTGAGGGTACTCTCGCGGAGAAGGGGTATCCCGACGGTGACAGTGAGCAGATCCCGTGAATTTTCTGTGCATTCGGACGTGGCGAGGCGATCACCGACGACCCGAGCAACTGGATCGACCCGGACGACCACAAGGTTTTCGAGTTTCTGTCACACTAGTCGTGGGAACAGCGAATAATTCGGGGGGAAAGCGAGACGCAACACTTTCGAAATATTCCTCGACTTTTTGCCTTTCTATTTGCGTAGGATGTCCCTCGCTGGATCGTGCAGCACGCGCGCGACCGCCACCGTACGTACTCGCGATCGGGAAAATCGGTTTTTCCTTCCTGTCGATATTTTCGTCAAACGGTGAATCACCGTTCGCGTTCGCCGAAAGTTCAAGGAAATACGAGGGTGTGCGCGACCCGCGATCGCTTTCTTAAATCGTTAACCTGGCCGATTTATTCGCGATCCCGTGCACCCCATTATATGGTAATTGCCCTGGCACGTACCCGACGATACGGTGTTGCTTCATGCTCGAGTAACTTTGACATATTGGGAGCATAATTGTCCCGGACAGTGTACCGTGAAACGCGCGATTTCAGTCGGTCCTCGAACTTCCACGCTCGGTCTACGACGAGATAATCGGCGTGCAACGAATTTCAATCGTTCGCGTGGTGATTTCGCAAGATTCGCCACTTTTTTTTACGGTTAACCGTGCCCTTTTGTTGCGCCTCTAGAAACGCGAAATCATGCTCCAAATGATGGAGAACGCTCTGTTCGTTCACCTCGTCCTGGCTCACAGATCGTCGATCGTAGACGTTCATTGATCGATGCTCAGACACTGCTTTTTATTCCTGACTCGTTCCAGGCGTGAGTCAACGCTGCTCGATATCTGAAACGATCGCTGCGAGCTATGTTAGAACCGTTCCACTCTTATTGTTAGAGCGAGCTTCAATTTTTACATACGTAACTCTGGTGGCATTTTCTAAGTTCTTCCAGTGCACGAGCTATAACAGAATTTCGCGTTTATTCTTTTGCACATTTGTCTCTTGAGGTAACATGTCAAATACCTAACTTTAAAATTAAGTACATTCAAAATTTAAGTTTAATCAGGTTTCATTTATTTTGCATGCTTTGAAAGTACATATTTTTGATGGATAGTGAGTCACAGGTGCTACGCAGCTATCTGGGATAGAAATCGTGCTTCTCCATTCTCTCGTTTCGGTGGATCGAATTGTGAACCGATCGATCGGCTGACACCGGTTTCTCGTCGGGCTCCTGAGCGTTCGCGCGCATGTCGATGATTCCTCGTCCAGTGATTCGGGGACAGTGAGGGTACTCTCGCGGAGAAGGGGTATCCCGACGGTGACAGTGAGCAGATCCCGTGAATTTTCTGTGCATTCGGACGTGGCGAGGCGATCACCGACGACCCGAGCAACTGGATCGACCCGGACGACCACAAGGTTTTCGAGTTTCTGTCACACTAGTCGTGGGAACAGCGAATAATTCGGGGGGAAAGCGAGACGCAACACTTTCGAAATATTCCTCGACTTTTTGCCTTTCTATTTGCGTAGGATGTCCCTCGCTGGATCGTGCAGCACGCGCGCGACCGCCACCGTACGTACTCGCGATCGGGAAAATCGGTTTTTCCTTCCTGTCGATATTTTCGTCAAACGGTGAATCACCGTTCGCGTTCGCCGAAAGTTCAAGGAAATACGAGGGTGTGCGCGACCCGCGATCGCTTTCTTAAATCGTTAACCTGGCCGATTTATTCGCGATCCCGTGCACCCCATTATATGGTAATTGCCCTGGCACGTACCCGACGATACGGTGTTGCTTCATGCTCGAGTAACTTTGACATATTGGGAGCATAATTGTCCCGGACAGTGTACCGTGAAACGCGCGATTTCAGTCGGTCCTCGAACTTCCACGCTCGGTCTACGACGAGATAATCGGCGTGCAACGAATTTCAATCGTTCGCGTGGTGATTTCGCAAGATTCGCCACTTTTTTTTACGGTTAACCGTGCCCTTTTGTTGCGCCTCTAGAAACGCGAAATCATGCTCCAAATGATGGAGAACGCTCTGTTCGTTCACCTCGTCCTGGCTCACAGATCGTCGATCGTAGACGTTCATTGATCGATGCTCAGACACTGCTTTTTATTCCTGACTCGTTCCAGGCGTGAGTCAACGCTGCTCGATATCTGAAACGATCGCTGCGAGCTATGTTAGAACCGTTCCACTCTTATTGTTAGAGCGAGCTTCAATTTTTACATACGTAACTCTGGTGGCATTTTCTAAGTTCTTCCAGTGCACGAGCTATAACAGAATTTCGCGTTTATTCTTTTGCACATTTGTCTCTTGAGGTAACATGTCAAATACCTAACTTTAAAATTAAGTACATTCAAAATTTAAGTTTAATCAGGTTTCATTTATTTTGCATGCTTTGAAAGTACATATTTTTGAAGATTAATTAGTATTTATTTTAGGAAAGATAAATAACGCAAAGAATAAAATTGACACATTGATAACCTCAGTAAAACTTGATCACTTATAATATCGAAGTTTTCATCATTAAATATAGTTTTACCTTTTATGTTCGTATTAAAGTTTTTCCCTTGATATTATTAGTGCTCATGATCATTAACGCTATTCAATTTTTTCCTCGATTACTCGATTATACGGTACTTGAAGCGTAATGACACGTCAGTCATCAGTGTCCTCCATTACAGTCACATTAAAATAAAATCGAACGTAGCTGGTCGTTAAATTATGCAAAATGCAAATGAATACTTTCATTCTAATATCATAAAATAGTTCGTTAATGAATGAACAAGAGACGTGGAATGACTATCTTTACGATCCTCGATTTCCGGTGTTGCGCTCGGGAAAAATCACGGCCAGCATGGCGTTCGTTTCCGTTCACGAATCGGTAGGTACAATAAATCATGAGTTATCTTGGGGACGGTCGAAAGTTGCCTGTACGGATCAATGTCACGTTGCAATAACGGAACTACGTCATAAATTAGCGAGCCCCGGCCAGGTTAGTTCGATAAAAATTCCTTGGTCACCTCGTGTCACACCGGTTTCTCCCGTGTTCTCGGCACTGTTCTCCGCGATTCCAGAAGGTCAAGTTCTATTCGTTGAGGAAATATCGATCTTTTCCTCTATCGAATCGTTATCGAGATCCTCGCGAATCGATGGTGATAATGGCGTTTTGACTACGATTGAACGTTCAACACTTGCAAATAAAAAGTATTCGTTAAACACAAGATTAGAGAATTTAGTATTTATACAATTTGAAGACAATGTAAAATTAAAAAATTTATTAGGAGTAGTAGAATTGTTTAATCCATCTTCAGATAATGGAGGGGTTTACTGTATAAATTATATGTACTTTTATCCTAAAAAAAATAAGACCATTTGGCCGATAGTTCACCGATGAAATAATGTTAAAAATTTTTGTCCCTGTTATCTACAAAATTTGCAAAATTACCTATTGCTGTTTATGTCGTTTTTAATAATAACTTTGCAAGGTAAATATGTTTGATCAGCTAAGTAAAATAATGCTTGAAGTAAATAATGGTGCTAGAAAACTTGTGGAGATAAATCTGAAGAAGGGTCTAATACGTCAGTGCATACCCGGTAGAGCCGACGAAGAGTTGGATGTTCCCAGTCTTCGTCACATTAGTATCGAGGTCAAGCTTCTCTCATGTTAATACAGAATCCTTCGTTGTTCGATCTAGAGAAGGCAAGCAGCCGGAAGTTGGTTCACACAGAAATTCTTCGAAGAACCTCAGTAACCTAAGAAGAAAGGCCTAAGAGGAATTTCGACGTAGCTTAAGAAGAAATAAAGATATCCTACGAATCTGAAGTCTAAAAGAATCTCAAAGAAATTTAAACAGAATCTGAAACTAACTTAAAAGGAAGAACTAGCCTAAAAAGAAGAATTTCAAAGTAGTCGGAAAAGAAGAATTTCAAGATAGGCAAACAAAAAAGAAGATAGTCGAAGAATTCCAAGGCAGCCAGAAGAGTAAAGTCGCGAAGTGAAAGAGGAGTTCATTTTAAAGTGCAAGGGTGGAAGTTGAAGTAATTGGTGAAGGAACATTAACAACGGTCGTGAAACACGGTGACACGGAGGGGGTTTTACATGCGTCATCGTCGTGCGGGTACAAATCGCACGCGACGAAACGCTTCGACGGCAGTACACGTGCGTAACGACGCGCTCGATCGTTTCAGCGTATCACGCGGTTTCGATCCTCTCTCAAGGATACGTGGTGATAAATGCGGTGCTGGAGATGACGTCCTCCGCGTTCTCCAAAATGGTTACCCGGCTCGTCCTCCTGGGCCTCCTCGTCGCGTGCAACGGTAAGTAAATTTCATATTTTACTTCCCATTCAACTTAGACAAGTGCTTACACAAATTACACAAATTATGTATAATGCTTCTACAAATTAGACAATACACGCACAGTGATTATGGTTACATTCCTTATGTAAATTATACGTGTTAAATGTTTATAGGAATTATTGATATACGCGTAATGTTTATATAAGTTACATATACGTCAGTACTTATATAAATTGCTTTCATATTACAATTATATATTGTTTACAACATTGCATATGCAATGTGCAACGTTTATATTAGTTGCTTACATATGTTATACTTATACAAGTTACTGACATATGTACGTGTCAGAAATATGATGGTTATATCAATTATTTACACATGTTCCTACAATCTTATAGAAATTATTTATACAGCATACAATACTTATACTGCTTCTACATACACTTACACAAATTTATACCACTTTGATAAATGTTGTGAAAAAATAACGTATGACAGGTAAATTCATGAAATCAAAGATTGAACTTCTTATGTAACATTTTTTAAAAATAAATTTTTTCATATAATGACACTCATTGTTCTGACAACTTTGTTTTCTTTCATTTTTGTGATAACATTGATTTTTCAAAGGATGACAATACCAGAGCTGTTTTACGAAACTATGTTTTTTTAATTGGGCTGGTAATTTCGATGATTCTTTGTTGAAATTTATTGAAATTCGCTGGTAATTGTTTTACAAGTAAATAACGGTTACATAATTTTCCGTTGCGTCCATTTTGTAATGTTCTACTCGAGTGTTTGCTTTAGATTAAACATTTCCATGCATATTCATTTGTTTCTGAGAAAAATTTCTCGGTTTATCGAAGAAACAATAGATAAATGGCCCAAAGATAATCTTTAAACGACATTGGTAATTAGGCAGAAAGCAGCAATTTGTTGACTGATTCCTCGAGTTCGACGTCAACTCTAACGAAAATCACTGTTCATGGAAACAGAGTTATTACCTAATTTGGAATTTTAGTTTCTTCCGTTTATTTTGTGCAATTAGGAAATGATAAAACTTTTAATTGCAAATGAGTCGGTCATAAGACATAATTGTCACATAAAGGACACAAGACTCACATTAATTACGGTTATAAAACCTATTAGCGAAATAAAAAATAGTATTCGATCCTTTCAATGGTTTATGGATTGCATATAATTTGTCATCAAAATAATTGTGATTGTTTTGAGCGTTGAAAACATTGAGAAGCAATTTCATTGGGGATCGGAGACACCAGTAGCGTGTCACAGTGTCAATCGGTTGATATGGCACGAATTAATATGCTATGAGCCATCATTTTACGACTGTGAAGGCCTTAACCTCGACAAGGGCCACGTAGCCTTTAAGTGACTTTACAGAGGTTGCATTCGAAATGATCAACACGAGGGCATTGCTTCTTATTGTTACTGCCACGTAATGTTTCGGTTCAAGTGTCAACGCGTGTCAGTTTTCTAGAAATCCTCAACACCATCTCTTCTTCCATTACATATCCCAATTACTCCTTCAGTTACAGATACCAAAGGACTAGTGTCGCATTAATATTTCATTCATTTACATTATTTTATTACGAATAATAATTTTTAATATTATGATCATATTTAACACTGTGGGAAGACTCAAATAATTTTACCTTCCTCTTCTATTATACTTATTAGGTTCAACAATTAATAATTTTTTTTATCGATTGCCGAAATTTTCCAAAATTTTTTTTTATGTGTATAATGGATTTTCTGAAGAATTATTATATGCGGTTTGTGTCTTATCAAAGTGACATATGTCTACCATATTCTGTAACTAATAAGCCTAAGTATATAATAAATTTTTAGTTTCTTCCTAGATAGCTCTACAGAAGAAAATATTTGTGAAAGTTATATTATTTCACTGCATGTAGTGATTTCCCATTTAGTATCATGGTTCATATTACAAGAATGTGAGCAATTTTGAAATCTCCGCGACACTTATCTGCAAATACCTTCAGATACGTACTTAAACATTCAAGCACGAACAGAACCGAAACATGATCATAACTTTAAATTACTATTAACTTTTATCCTCAACAAAACTCTCTTCTGAACCAAAAATAATCACGCTTAAAAAATTCTTAACAAATTCACCAATTTTAATTTATTATAATCAAAACAAATATATTTTTATTTTCGGTATACCATAAAATCTGCATCTCCATATTTTATTTTTCTCGTATTATAAGAATTAACCATTTTACGAAAGAGAAGTCATTCTATAACCCTGACAGTGAAATCAGATCGATTTTCTGCGATCCACAATTTCATTAACCGATCCTCGTGAACGTGACACGTGTGAGGAGTTAATGGTAAGCGTCGCGTTCGTCTGGTGACGCGAAAATCTATGTTAACAAGTTCACTTTCATCGGGAGTGTGTGTCGTTTGAATAACAAGCTCGATTCAGCGACGATTTTCGCCGGACGCGAGCGAAATCGCGGCGATCTCGAGCGGATCGGAATCAGAGCGAGACGCGAGCCATCGCCTAGAATCAGACTGACGAGTTCTGTAGCCGCCTTACTCGTCTCGGTGATTTCAATGAAACTAGAAACGTGATTTGCTAAGTTTACATCGACACGATGTATAAATAGTCTGCGGACTCTGGTAACAAAAAGAAGGATCAGCTCTGTTTCACACGAAACCATTACAAATCTTCGCTCGTGTCTTCACATTTTGTTAACTTGTTATTTTTAATGAATTTGAGGTTATTGAATTATTAAATTGTTGCGGTTATTGTTTTGTTAAATTGTTGCAATTATTGTATTATTAAAGTTACTGAATTATTAAATTGTTGTAATTATTAAAAAATTAAATTGTTGTAGTTAATGAATTATTAAATTGTTGCAGTTATTGAATTATTAAATTATTACAGTTACTGAATTATTAAATTATTATAATGATTGCACAATTAAATTGTTCCAATTACTGTATTATTAAATTGTTGCAGTTATTGAATTATTAAATTATTACAGTTACTGAATTATTAAATTATTATAATGATTGCACAATTAAATTGTTCCAATTACTGTATTATTAAATTGTTGCAGTTATTGAATTATTAAATTATTACAGTTACTGAATTATTAAATTATTATAATGATTGCACAATTAAATTGTTCCAATTACTGTATTATTAAATTGTTGCAGTTATTGAATTATTAAATTATTACAGTTACTGAATTATTAAATTATTATAATGATTGCACAATTAAATTGTTCCAATTACTGTATTATTAAATTGTTGCAGTTATTGAATTATTAAATTATTACAGTTACTGAATTATTAAATTATTATAATGATTGCACAATTAAATTGTTCCAATTACTGTATTATTAAATTGTTGCAGTTATTGAATTATTAAATTATTACAGTTACTGAATTATTAAATTATTATAATGATTGCACAATTAAATTGTTCCAATTACTGTATTATTAAATTGTTGCAGTTATTGAATTATTAAATTATTACAGTTACTGAATTATTAAATTATTATAATGATTGCACAATTAAATTGTTGCAATTACTGTATTGTTAAAATGTTGCAGTTATTGAATTATCCAATTATTGCAGTTACTGAATTATTAAACTACAGCAATTAAATAAGTAAACCATTGTAATTAATAAATTATAAAATTATCGCAGAAGTATTAAATTGTTCTAATTATCAAACCATTAAACTGTTGCATTCATTGAATTATTAAACTGTTACACGAACTATCAATTTAATGAATATTGATCAGTACTGCAAGTTAATGACATAGCGATCGAGTGTTCCATATGTATAAATTAGATAGGATAATTAATTTGGATCAGTGATCTTTTAATTATGCTAGACGGTGTGTAACGGACGTCATACTTGACCCTGTTTTAGGATATGGGTTCTACGTTTATATGTAAATCAGAATTTGTGGAGCACGGAATAGTTCATAGCAATTGTACTATGTGTACATATTAAAACTGTTATTACACAATATTAAGTCCATTAAAGTAATTAGAGTTTCTGTCTGATGATCCAGCTATTTTAGAGATTTTAATACTTTATCAAGTATGACCAGATGGAAATTTGACAATTTGGAACTCTGAAAATTTGACAACTTAGAGATTTGTAAGGTTAGAAATACAGGAAATCGTCAATTTACAAATTTAAAGACACAGAAAACTATTAATTCAGAAATTTAGAAATATACCAAATTCAGTCAGAAAAAAATACAGAAAATCGTAAATTCAAAAATGTGGAAGTACATAAAATTATTAATTTAGAAATCGAGAAATACAAAAAATCCTTCTGCCTAAACTGTAGAAATACAGAAAATTCTTAATTTGAAAACGTAGAAGTTTAGAAGGCTAGTACAAGACCAGTTATAAACTTAGAGATTCCAAAAATTAACCTAACCAAAAATTTTGGACTTAGAACCTTAAAAATTGAATCGCTAATTTTGGACTTAGAATTTCGAGAAATATCTATAAAATTACTCATGCAAGAAGGAACAGGTGGAATTTTCACCAACACAGTAACATCGCGATGCAGGTAGGGTACAGAGTGGAACGATGCAAATCGAGTCGATCGAGCGTGTAGAATTCAAGACGGTCTCGAACTCGGTAAAAAGCAGAAGGGCACACGTTTTTCTCGGCGTAGCTCAACGTGCAATAATGTCGCGTTCAAATGTTAAGACGTTGATGCATCGACGAAGTGAAACCGGTTCAACAGCGGCCAGCGATGAATAAAGGTAGCCGCAGAAAAACGTAGAGGAAACAGCAATCAGCAAAGCTGCAGTCCGAGGTATCCAAATATCGATAACGTAGAGTTTGCGTGCAACAACGTCAATTATCGCTGGTAACGTCAATCGAGAGACGTTGATGGAGCCTCTGTATCTTCGAGTTTCGGCTACCTGGACGTTTTGTTAATCCTCTTTCGATGCCTTCTCGTAAAGCATTCGAGGAGCGGCGTTC